AATTTTTCTTGAAGTATGTATTGCTTAACTTGCTCCTGACACCTGGTACCTCTTTGTCTAGTCATCTAGTGGGCCGGATTGGACCCTTTGGTGGGCCCACCTACTGTTCACATTCATGTTCGAAGTGACTTGTATCTGACATCAGTGTGAACAGATCTCTGCCAACCAACAGTGTCACATATATGCACATTCGTACTAGCCTGGAAATCCAGACCCAAATCTAGAAAGATTTAGGGTCTGGCTATGAGTAATGAATGAGGGGTGGCACCAAGCATGCATTTGAAAATATCACTGCATGCAATTGGATAACACTACGACCAATCAGAACAATACATGGGGTGACGTATCCAGAGCGCTACCAGCAGAGCTAACTGGTAGATTAGACTCTTGCCGTATCCGGTTGGCAAAACAGCAAAAACGTCCTTCTTGCAAAGGAAAGATTCGAGCGCCGTCTTCTGTTCCTCTTTTAGAGAAAAAGCCAAGTCTAACTCGTTCATTGTAGCGGCCAAAGCCGTTTCAAACAACTGGTGTTCATCCGTAGCCATCTTGCAATGTTTACTGACTGATTCTGGACTGACTGGCTCGCCTCTGCCCCGCCTATATCAGATACACCGATGTGATTGGTGCAGCTCGGCTACAAGGGCATGGGTAATGAGCATCATTACTGATTGCCAGAGTGACTCGCTGAGCAAATTCAAATTGTGCTCTCGAGAGAACTCTGAATTTCCAGGGTACATTCGTATAACAACAGCATCATTTTGTGAATCACACATTTGGGGGAAATATAAATGACACTGTGGCGCTGGCTTCATCTCCCAAATGATCGCCACAGTAGGAAGGTCTGAAGATGTCATTCTGCATAATAATTAGCCATGTGCTTTTCTTTGGGAGAGTGTGTAGCATATTTTCAGAGAAATGGCCCTTCTTAGCAATATGGCCGTTTGTTTTCAGGATTAAGGGCTGTCGAACAAATGGGTTTTAGTCCATTAGCTCTATTAGCAGCTACTGTTGTTAGTTCTGTGGAGAGAAAGGTGTGTGTGCGGCTGGGAGAGGAGTCAAAAGTGGTGTAGCTGTGATGTGGAAGGTCTTATGGAGGAGCATTTCCTCCAAAACTTAAAATGTCTTGGGCTGCATTCCTACATCTCTGTTAGTGCCCCACAACAATGCTGCCATGATATATAGGCAAGCTGTCCCCGTCAGAAAGCACATGGCAGTTGGGCTCTATTGGTTAATGCCTGGGGCAGCCTAACACTGCAGCGGTACAGCTACAGCAGCCTTCTAGTTTCAACTGACCACTCAGACACTGCATGGTGAGTGATATGTGCCAGCGCATGTCAGTATGAAATGGAAAAAACATGGATGGGGGAAAAAACTAACATGAATTCCGATTCTCAAAAAGGCCACATGGCAAGTGATCGGATACTACTCTAAAAAAAAAATCAGATCTGTGGTGCACGGGAGCAAAAGAATCTGATTTGGGTAACATTTGCTTGTAATGTGGATGTAGCCATTGAGTCTTGAAACCTACATGTGTTGAGCTGATTCATAAAAGGTTAGAGGGAGAGTATGTGGGATATAGGATGAGGGAAGCAAGAGGATATCAATATGAAGGAAGAGGAGGCCATACGTTCAGTCTAAATTGGGTAAGGAGAAGAAGAAAAAGACATCCTGAGAAGTATGGAGGTGGGTGGGGTGTGACGAGTAGAGATGAAGGAGGTGTGAGAGTGAGGAAATGACTATAGAGTCTATCAAAATGCAAAATGGAGCATTTGGGACTATTTCCCCCTGCTATTAACCAGTAGAGAGCTGCTCTGGTTAACATATGGTGAGGGAGGAAGTGAGACACACACGCTCTCACACACGCACGCACACACACACACACACACACACACATATGCCCATCACCGTCCATGGGGCTTCTTTCACTGATCAAAGACTAAGCTCTCTCATTTAGACCAAACCAGCCTTCCAAGACATGGTAATGGGATGGGATGGAAATGACTATTAAAAAAAAAATGTCAGGAGTGTGTGTGGCTGCACATGTGTGTATCCATGCATGCCTCCTTGTGTATCCTTTGGAGGAGTTAGTGTGCGTTTTCATTAAAAGGGTGCATTTATTTCCCGAGGCATTGAAGCACAGCACACATACACACACAAACACACACATGGAGGATGTGTATTTCTTCATCGTATGACCGTGGCGGGCCAAGAGACACCTATCTGTCAGTGTGCAGGCTCATCTCGCTCCAGCGCGGGTTATTACGACTCAATCGCGGAGCGTTTGAGTGAGCTGGCGCAAACAGCACTCAGCACAGCTCTGTCCCGCTGGGGGAGAGACGATAATGCACTTCTGAAATATGACACCCATCCCTGGCACCACACTTCCACTATGTACATCCCTCTATATATTACACGGCACCGTATCTGTGTGACTCCCACGGTGTGTGTGAGTGAACTGATGCTGCCCTGTGCTGTGATACAGGGTCTGAATGGCACCTGTGTAAACTGGATTTCTGCTTCCTGTTGAGCACCAGTTTATTAATTCCTGCATGTTCACTGAATTAGGAGCAACAAGGGGCCCTCGTGCATGATATTGATGAATGATTTCAAGACTCCAGCTGCAAGTGCTGTGTCAACAGCATCACCTGTACTATATATTTCATGCTTAACCCCATTAAACGTGACCCCCCTTTGGCATGCTATTTAAATAAGCTCTGTGTAAAATGGTTAACAACAAGGGCCCGTGGCCGTAAAATTCAGCTGTCCCATTGATTATGGGGTAATAGCTGGATAGATTAATGTGTTTCTCAGGGGGTTCACGCCTCGGCAATGAATCTGAATCACTCACACAGACACAGCAAGTGGAGCAGCCTCCATATCCAATAACCTGCATTTCTGTCCTCACTCATATTTCACACGCCAATTACTGGTTAGTCCTTCACCAAGCTTCTCCGTGTCCTCCTCTGTATACGCACCTCCTCTGACATGGCGTCTCACAGAGTGGATCAATTTGGAAAAGTCATTTTTGGAGAGGAATAATACAATTCAACTGTCGGGTGATACAGTGGAAACGGATTGGAACAAATCTGGAGTCAGAATGAGAAAGTTTAAGGGAACATGCATTGAACAATGAATGTGTGTGAATGTGTGTGTATGTTGGGGGTGGGGTGGGGGGGTGCACCATCATAATATATTGCAGAGTAAGTCAAAAGCTGTGATGGAACAGTACTTTCAGAGCTCACACGCTCAATATCCCCAGCCACCGATAATGCGCAACACTACATCACTGGCATTAAATATTCAGAAGCTCCATACAACCAGGTGAACCTGTGCACCTTCACTCACCCGAGCACACACAGGAAAACATCATACTCCTATTAAAGGTGATTCTAGCTAAACTTAATTACATTATGAAGTCAATCACTTCAACTCTCCTCAAACCAATTGTGTGAGTTTCACAAACATGTAATATTATCCCCTCACAGGAGCTCTGCCACCTCAATCAGCTATACCTCCACTATTCCCTGCTGATGATGAAGCCATTTGTAGTGGAAGGCACAATATGTAGTATTAATGAGACCTTTTCAGCTGCTGCCATGACAAAAATCTTTAAGTGGCCTCAAGCCAACATGAAAAAGCAATTCCGCTAACCAAATTGAATTCAGTCATTTGTGCCATTGGAATGGGTGAACAAGAGAAGCAAAATGCAAAAGCAGTTAAGGGAGAAAAAGAGATGTAGTTTTGCAAATGGTAATATAGCAGTTTTCACTGTCCGTGGTGCTGATGCTCCTCTCTCCATCTGCTCAACCACTTGGCAGTAGTTGCTGAAATGTCATATTGCAAAGAATCTCTTTGAATTTGTTTGTACAGTCTATGATCTTCTTTTTTTCCACCTTAGAGCTGCTGAGCAGTGTGAGCATCAACTTACTGCTCCTAAAAAAGATCAGAAAGTGAATTACATCATTGCTGAAATGCTCCCTCACCAAAGGAGAAGGTGCCATCATCCGCTTGCAGTATCCTCCCAGACAGGCAGAGTAAAAGGCACAATTCAGTTTACAGTTATGCCTTATAGTGTAATAGACTGTCTGCTGCCCTCTTACCTGGTTATTAATGCACAGAGCAAGGTGTTTCCTTTCCCGAGCCACAACCAGACTCCCGCTGCGCAGCCTCGCCTCCTCTCCCTGGTACATGCTTCTGGAAGGACACCGCTCAAGTTAAGACACATAAACTCTCCAAATGTGAAATATGCTGTGAGGCATTGGCACATGAACAGCCTGTCCTCAGCTCTGTGCAGCTGCAGACAGAGTAGTACCGTTATGCAGGATTTTGTTTTTTTTATCACTCAACAGTGCATGTCGGAGCAGCCTGTACTGGAGCTCCTCGGTTATCCTGAATAAACACTGTTGCCGTACATTTATGACTCGAGATGTGCCACTAACCTGTACGTGCCGTTCCTCAGCATGACGAGCTCTCCCTCTCCGCGGTCAGACAGAGATGAAGTGAACACTTTGAGTCGGGAGCAGCCGGAGAGAGACCAGACTTGGAAAATCCTCGCAGCCAATGGGACGCCGAGCGTGTGCGCGTCTTTTTTCTTTTTTTTTATACAGCGCCCGACGCGCGCGTCTTGACGGTGTCATTTAACTTAGCAATCGGCTTTAATCTATGCATTAATTATTCTGCGCGCCTTCTCTCTGGGGAAGGGCAATCGCATACTACAGTATCTACAGTCTATTATGCGGGGCTTTTGAAATGCCTCACGGTGTGCCAATCTGTTTGCTCATATCCTAGATATGGCTTTATAATGGTTTACATCACACATGTGTGGGCTGGGAGCAGGAGGGGACGCACAAGTTGAACAAACACCTGCATTTGGTATTTCATACACAAAGCACGTCATCTTTACACAGTGCGCAGCAGACAGATGAGGTGTGAGGAGAACTGGTCCATCATTTAAGTGACTTGGCCTACACATTATCAAACCACCTGAGCTGATCTTATGAATGGAGGACTTTAAAATCTGTCCAGTGACTAACTACTACAAAAGGATCCTTCTGCCAGTGTCCTACAGCATTGTGTTCCTGCTGGGCCTGAGTTTAAACGGCGCCCTGCTGTGGTGCGTGTGCTGTCGGCTGCGCCATTGGAGCAGCACGGTCATCTACTCCACCAACCTCGCCGTGGCGGATCTCCTGTACGTGCTGGCCTTGCCCCCTCTCATCATCAGCAATGCCATGGGCAGCATGTGGCCCTTCGGGAACGTCATCTGCAAAAGCGTCAGGTTCTTCTTTTTTGTCAACCTGCACTGCAGCATGATGTTTCTGACGTGCGTCAGCGTGCACCGCTTCCTCGGAGTGTGCTTCCCCATCGCTGCTGTGCGCCTCAGGACCAAAAAAGTCGCCCTCTTCGCGTCAGGCTCGGTTTGGATCCTTGCCACTGCAGAGATTTTACCCACATTGGTCTTTGCGCACACAGGTGTGATCAACAACATGACTGTGTGTTTTGAGATGACCAACCCGGGGCGGTTTAAAGTTTATTTCCCTTACGGAATGTTTTTGGCCATAGTGGGCTTTCTGATCCCATTCCTCGTCGTTATCACCTGTTACTGCTCCATGATGACGGTGCTTTACTGCAGGGCCCCGGACAGCATCTCCAACGCGAGGACAGCTCGGATGCGCAACAAGTCTATTTACACACTCCTGGTTGTGTGTCTCATGTTTGTGGTGTGTTTTGTGCCTTATCACATCGCCCGGACCGTCTACTTGTTTGTGAGGGTCTACATGCCCGAAGACTGTCACCTGCTGAACGTGGTCATGATCTCCTTCAAGGTGTGGAAGCCTGTGGTCAGTTTCAACTGCTGCGCTAACCCCCTCTTCTACTTTTTCGGCTGTAATCGGCACCGTCAGAGGCTCCGGGCCTGGCTGTGGAGGCGGAGGAAGAGGGTGCAGCCCAGTGTGAGTGTGGTGGATGTCGGCAGCACACACAGGTCCGCAGGGCAGAGAGCATCCATCAGAGGTCTCATTAAGTGACTTTTATCAGGAGGCCGCGGGCGGTAATGACATTAGGACTGTACCAACACTGTCTATAAACTGTTTAATATTTCCTTTTATTGTTTTAAATATAAGAATGTGTATCTGGCAACATTCATCAGAGAAGGCACTGACTCTTGAGGCATACGTTTTTGTACACTTGCATCCTATAAAACCTGAAGGATCAGCAAAAGCAAGGAACTAAGTCATAGTGTAAATACTGAGCCTGCAAAATGAGGTTATTAAAAAGCAATGACACTGTGGCCACAGGTGATGTTGAACATTTGGGGGAATTGGTGCCCTCTGTCGTTTGCAGAGGGCTGAGTCTCTAAAACAGACCCTTAAACAACAGGAAGGCAGCATAAAACATCAAAACAATTTTACATGACACAATCTCCAAGAAAAAAACTGCACCGTTTGTGGTTTCTATTTAAAAAAAAAGTCTCAATTGTGGAGCAACTGGAAATGAGTCCAAAAATAGTTGCTATAGTGATAATAATGAAAGAAAACACCCTGTCAGTCATGTGAAGGTTAAAAATACCTTAAAGTGCTACAGTATCTTGTTCAAACAGGGACACTCTGTATCATCCTCTTATTTTTTTTGTTAGTGCATACTTGGCTGGAGTCACAGAACTACAGCGTCGGAGGAGCAGACAGCTGAATGAAGGGCATCATTTCAGAACACTCCTGTGGGCAAGTGATGACAGATGGGTAGAGCAGTGGTCTGGGAGCTGAGAGCAGAGAGGACAAGAAAGATTAAGTTAGAAAAGAAAGCTACAGTGAAAGAGTTACTTGTGTTTAATTACGAAGTGTAGCAGTAAAGCCATCCCCCCGAGCCTTAAGGAGAAAAATAATGTATTGCCAGTGTCAAGATTAGAGGCTGAATAAATTAATAGTTTTCTGTTTGAATTATGTCTAATCAGAAGTGGTGTGTGTGTACATATACTTGTACATGACACATAGTGAGGACCAAAAGTGTATTCTAGCACAGTGAGGACATTTTTGAAAGGGGAGACAGTTTGGTAAGTCCCACTTGAGGGTAAAGACTTTGTTGTAGGGTTCAGGTTACAATAAGGGTTAAGGTGGATTTATACTTGTGCATCAGCTCCATGCAGAGTCTACGCCGTTGTGAGCATCTATACTTGTGCGGTGGTGTGTCTGTGTCACTCTGCAGTTACACTTCCAAAACACTAGCTGGCGGCAGGGTTTCTGTGAAGTACTATAAAGTTCAATTGATTCAAAACACACCCAAACCACACACAAAACACGGCTTAATAGCAAGAATTTCAAACACAAGTGCACAAATTGGCTTCACTGTAACTCGCAGGATTCACAGACAAAGCGCTTGTCTTTCACTGGACACATTTTCCAGACAAATACAACATGCTACTGTTTTTAGCACAAGCCTATGGCATTTTACATTGTATAAATTAGCCTAGTGGCTAGCAGATATTTCCTATACTCATTTGAAACCAGGGAAAACCGCAACACTTAACAAAGGTAACGTTACAAAATTCGGCTTCATTACAACTCCCAATGTTCACCGACAAAACGTTTTCCACACAAATACAACATGATAATGTTATTAGCACAAGCATATGGCATTTTACATTGTATAAATTAGCCTAGCAACTAGCGGAGACTTACACTACTCATATGAAGCCAGGTTAAATCACACACAAGATTTAAAATGCTATTTTGTGGAGGCTTCATTGTCTTTGCAAATTATTGTTTCTTATCTGTAAAATTAAAGTAAATAAAAGCTTTGTTCCCCTAAGGGGAATGGTTTTAGACAGGAGGTCTGCATCGTCATTCGTCATGACGTGTAGGCCTACTGTAGTTACATTTCTGGGTAGGTGCACATTAGGCTGTGCCGTAGTTATGATGCTGATTTGACGCAGAAGTATAAATCCTGCTTTAGGGTTGGGGTTGACGTTAGGCATTTAGTTGTGATGGTTAAGGTAAGGGTAAGGGGGCTAGGGAATGCATTATGTCAATGAAGGTCCTCACAAGATAGAAGTACAAGAATATGTGTGTGTGTGTGTGTGTGTGTGTGTGACTGTGTGCATACCTGTGCGCCCAACCTTGAGAGGTATCGGTTGCGTAAGCCAAAAGCAGACATGGGTGCTAATCTAGCGTGCTCACCCTCTGTCAGTTTACTGGGTCGCCTTTTAGTCCTGCAGGAATAACAATGTTGCCATCTTTATCATCTCTGCAGCCAATAGGCAGGATTAATCAGCCACAATAGCCAAATAACTTATTAATACATGTGTTGGAAAAAAAATGCTGCAGAAAAATGCTGTACAATAACAAGCGAATTCAAGGGTTTTCAAAAAATGTGTTTAATTAAATGCCATTCTTCCATTAACAATATGGTATCAAATGTGATTTGGTTCTACAAAAAGGTTTCTTCTGTGACTGTCCTTCAAATCTCATTGTCTTTGATTGTACAATGGATCTTCTGTAATTTCTCAGTCCTATCATTTCTTGACCACAGCTCCACAACAGTTAACACAAATATCAGTAAAGCAAAGACCGCCCTGCTGTCTCAACACCACAGTGCACATGAGTGACAGGTGAGGAGAGCAGTATGTCTCTGGCTGTTAATGTGCAAACACAATGCTTTAACTCAATGCTACTGACCATCTTCTTTCAAATTTTACTTAACACCAGATTGAACTGCCCTCTCTGGGTAAGAGTTCCGAGTCTGTTTCACCTCTGATCACCTGCAGCATCACTGACAGGTTTAGTAAGAAGTTTAATAGTGCACTTCTGCATCACTGAAGCAAGACCAAAGTTAAATTGGGGGATGTCAGAAAAAACAAGATTCTCAGGGGGTGTTAAGTTGCTCTTAAAAGAATACTTCACCCGCAAAATGACCATTCGTATGTCGATTGCTCACCACGTTTCATTGGATTCTTAATGAAAACTTTTCTCGCAGGCCTCCACATTGAACAAAGACTCGAAAAACAGGGAGACTTCTTGATGAATTTAAGGGAAGCCACATTTAAAACAGCAAAACTATATCAAAACTTTAATTAACAATCTGACACTACTCATGCAGTATAACACAAGTCTAATCTATCCACTCATATATTCAGTATTCCCCAAAAAATTACATTTCCAATGGTGAACTGAATGGAAAGTGAAATTTTTATGCTCTTTTCAAAGCCAGACTCCACTGACAAAAACAGTAATTTTACCTCACAGAACACAGCAGCTGCTGCTCTACCACTGCCTCCATCTGTTAGCTTGTTTGCATTGTTTTGTTACTTTGGTGAATCCAACTGAAACTTTAAAACACTTCAGTCACAAAATAACATAAATAAATTAACTGATCGAGGCCCTAAACAGAAAGGCAGCTCCAGAGTTCAACGAGGAAAAAATTACTGTTTTTGTCAATGAAGTCTGGCTTTGAGGAGAGCAAAGATGAATTTCACTTTTAGTTCAGCTCCCCGTCAGACAAGGCTGCCTGTTTGGGGAGTACTGAGCATATAACTGGTTTGGATTCTTTGTTCACCGTACAGGCAATTTTCTTCACAAATCCAACGTAACAGGAGGTGTGCAACTAATATACGAATGATCATTTTGTGAGTGAAGTATTCCTTTAATATTTCAAATACTAATTTGCCCAACTGAGGTAGTGAGTGTTTATCAGACACAGTCTGTGACCCTGATAACAACACAGGGAGATAAATCTCTTCCTACATTACTGGAATGGTGAGAGTTAAACTGAGTGCATGGATATTCTGTCACATCGTTCAAATGAAGCAAGCAACAATTTGGGGGCAGTGCTTACAAAAAGTAAATTACCTGAGCTTGATAAAAGAACAAAACACCGTCTACAAAACATAATTCATAAGGGAACTGGTTCTTTAAAAGGTCACATTAATAAAAGTGTGTAAGAAAAGTTAAAACTGTGAATATCATTACACGGGTAAATGCTTTCCAAAGTGTGGCTCTCTCTTTCTCTTATCTTACTTATCATTATAGTAATGTACCATTTGATGATGCAACAGAAAATAAATCTTTATGAACCTCCGAAACCAGCCGAGAGCAGATAAAGGAATTAAGAAAAAAAACTTGAGCAATAAAGATTTAAACAATAAAGAGCCATGCTCTTTCTGAGATTCTGCACCATAAAAGGTCAACGATGCATATGATTAAAATTGAATACGAACTCACTAAGCAAAGTCCAGTAAGGAAGATTTTGGTTGGCAATTATTGTGAATGCTGACAGCTGATATGTGCATAAATGAAATGCTGAGTTGAATGCAATCAGGCAAGTAACAAGAGTCCTTCTGAAAACAATTTGTAAAAAGAAACATAAAACCATTTAAAAACATCCACAAAGTCCTATATACATTTAGAACAATTCCATTATCAGAACCCCGTATTATAAGTTACATTCGCATGTAATAAAATCAAAAAATATTTATAGGCACCGTTCCACAGGATATAAGTCTTATCTTTTGCTGAACATTTAAAACAGTCAAAACACTTTTGAAGCATCTTAACTCTTTTCGGTAATAAAATTTCACACTCACTCACACACACACACACACACACACACACACACACACACAAACACAGTGGACAGTGAATATCAGAGAAGTCAGTATGGGAGGTCAGTCGATCTGTGTCATCTGTCAGTGTCCTCAAAGGAACATAATAAGCTATTAATACCCGGTGGGTTATGTAATAGCTGGAGCCAGACAGTCAGTTCTGATGGGAAGAGTCACAGGTGACAGCACTGGGTGGAGTCAGTAGCGCAGTCCCGCCCCATGGCAGTTGATTGACAGCTCTGGGGGTGGACAGTGCAGCCTGCTGGCTCCAAGCCTAGGACTATGTGTGTTCCCTCATCATCATCATCTGGAAAATATCCGTCACAGAACAGACCAGAAAATGTTAGTTTGTATTTTCACAAAGCATAATCTTAAAACAAAGAACATCATGTAGTACTGTAACAGATTACACAGATACACTGATAGAGAGACAGAGAGATAGACAAAAACAGATCTAACCTCAATGTCTGTTCAGGATGACCACTCACGTGTCATTAATGGGAACCGAAATTATCATAATACTAAGAGAAACTGTGTGGTTGGATGTCATGTTTCAAACACAGAAATAAACCAACCACAGGTGGTGTGCTATAGACACGTGCTCTAAATAAATGTAGCCACTCAGTCTGCTGGTACAGCAACCGTTTCCTCCATCATGCTGTGGTTAATGAAGTCCTGTTTCACTCTATTAAAAACATCTTTTTGCATGAGTGCTTTGCCACCACCCAGGAAGATGAGTGAAGCCTTTAAGCAAAGCACGGTGACACACACCACAGCTAGCCAATATATAGCACCGATAGTGCAAGGTGGGCAACCAAACAGTCCATTAGTAGTAGTGCTGCATGATTTGATAAAAATGTGCGATTGTGATTTTGGTGGACAGTATCACGATTTGCAATTGCGATTACAATATAACAAATAAATGGTATCATGAGTCTTCTTGCTTGATTCAGTGTTACCCCTACATTATATCAGGGGGGCACTGACCTGACCTGACATAGTTACTGTTATGGACAGTGTGTAAATGACCATCAACAGACTGTCTGACTGTTACACACAGTCAAACACACTGCTCACACAGCAGCGCAGCACGGCACTGTACCCACACTTGGAGTTGAAGCAAAGCCTGTGTTGCGTTCAGGCGTTGTTACGTAAATGACAAATTCCAGCATATGAATAGGCCATAGCACAACACAGCAGCAAGTCAAGTGGGCCGAACCCAAGCAAAATTTTGCTCAGTTTTTCAATTGTTATTATATAGTGTGTTATGGAGTCTGTGATTTCCCCGTGTCTCTTTGAGTTCTTGTTGTATGGCCTGACACTTACAAATGTTTGCGTAATTGTGCTTTGTTGTTGTTTTATGAGGCTCTGGTGGCTTTCAGTTGTCTCTTTGTCTTTAACGTCACTTGGCTTGTCTTTCTCTCACATGCATTCTTCCTACTTTCCTCTGTGCTGTCTCAAGTGCTGATATACAGTACAGGCCAAAAGTTTGGACACACCTTCTCATTCAATGCGTTTTCTTTATTTTCATGACTATTTACATTGTAGATTCTCACTGAAGGCATCAAAACTATGAATGAACACGTGGAGTCATGTACTTAACAAAAAAAGGTGAAATAACTGAAAACATGTTTTATATTCTAGTTTCTTCAAAATAGCCACCCTTTGCTCTGATTACTGCTTTGCACACTCTTGGCATTCTCTCCATGAGCTTCAAGAGGTAGTCACCTGAAATGGTTTTCCAACAGTCTTGAAGGAGTTCCCAGAGGTGTTTAGCACTTGTTGGCCCCTTTGCCTTCACTCTGCGGTCCAGCTCACCCCAAACCATCTCGATTGGGTTCAGGTCCGGTGACTGTGGAGGCCAGGTCATCTGCCGCAGCACTCCATCACTCTCCTTCTTGGTCAAATAGCCCTTACACAGCCTGGAGGTGTGTTTGGGGTCATTGTCCTGTTGAAAAATAAATGATCGTCCAACTAAACGCAAACCGGATGGGATGGCATGTCGCTGCAGGATGCTGTGGTAGCCATGCTGGTTCAGTGTGCCTTCAATTTTGAATAAATCCCCAACAGTGTCACCAGCAAAACACCCCCACACCATCACACCTCCTCCTCCATGCTTCACAGTGGGAACCAGGCATGTGGAATCCATCCGTTCACCTTTTCTGCGTCTCACAAAGACACGGCGGTTGGAACCAAAGATCTCAAATTTGGACTCATCAGACCAAAGCACAGATTTCCACTGGTCTAATGTCCATTCCTTGTGTTTCTTGGCCCAAACAAATCTCTTCTGCTTGTTGCCTCTCCTTAGCAGTGGTTTCCTAGCAGCTATTTGACCATGAAGGCCTGATTGGCGCAGTCTCCTCTTAACAGTTGTTCTAGAGATGGGTCTGCTGCTAGAACTCTGTGTGGCATTCATCTGGTCTCTGATCTGAGCTGCTGTTAACTTGCGATTTCTGAGGCTGGTGACTCGGATGAACTTATCCTCAGAAGCAGAGGTGACTCTTGGTCTTCCTTTCCTGGGTCGGTCCTCATGTGTGCCAGTTTCGTTGTAGCGCTTGATGGTTTTTGCGACTCCACTTGGGGACACATTTAAAGTTTTTGCAATTTTCCGGACTGACTGACCTTCATTTCTTAAAGTAATGATGGCCACTCGTTTTTCTTTAGTTAGCTGATTGGTTCTTGCCATAATATGAATTTTAACAGTTGTCCAATAGGGCTGTCGGCTGTGTATTAACCTGACTTCTGCACAACACAACTGATGGTCCCAACCCCATTGATAAAGCAAGAAATTCCACTAATTAACCCTGATAAGGCACACCTGTGAAGTGGAAACCATTTCAGGTGACTACCTCTTGAAGCTCATGGAGAGAATGCCAAGAGTGTGCAAAGCAGTAATCAGAGCAAAGGGTGGCTATTTTGAAGAAACTAGAATATAAAACATGTTTTCAGTTATTTCACCTTTTTTTGTTAAGTACATAACTCCACATGTGTTCATTCATAGTTTTGATGCCTTCAGTGAGAATCTACAATGTAAATAGTCATGAAAATAAAGAAAACGCATTGAATGAGAAGGTGTGTCCAAACTTTTGGCCTGTACTGTAGATTGGTCGTGTTGCCGTGGGACGTGGCGACTTTAACTTTTAAACGTTTACACAACACATCTTTCTGTTCAACTTTGCCGTACCTGAATCCAAAGTATCACCATATAATAGACGTTGCTTTTTTTTTTCGCCACCAACTCAGCCTGTTCATGGTCGTGCTCATGCTCTTCTTCAGCGTCTATGTTGGTCACTGCTGCACGCCTGGTGGTCACCTGACCATACGTGCTGCACACACCAGGATACCTTGTGGGCGTGATTTTAACAAACTCCACACAGGTTTCTTTCTCTATAAATTTGAATACTTGGAAATACATCAAAATTGACAGTGATAACTGAAACAGTGCACCTTCTTACAGTTTTGCTGCAACAACCACTCAAGAAAATTAAATTAAAGCCCAATCAGGCAATCAATTATCATCTCTTTACACTCCTGAACCTTTTAAACTAGTAAAACCAGGCGCTGTAATACAGTAAACTGATGCATGATTGTGCATGCAAGTCATGTGGCTGATCATATATTCTACACTCCAAAGAACAAATCCATAAAAACACCACCTGACTGTAACTATCACACTGAAAATCATGCTCAGTCTGTTAAATCATTTATTTTTATCTACCTGGAAACACAAACTAGAACAGAATAGAAATTTCTACTCATTTTAGTAGATTTGGACTAAGCTGACTGCAGCGAGTTGAGCTAAGGACACATCCAGAGTCAATTAGCACATGAGCTTTTACAAGTGTCCAGAAATATGCCAGTGCCACTTGATTACACGAGTGGGTTGTTCATTATATTTTCGAGATGCTTGTGTAATTGTTGGGTAAGTGGGTGGGAAAGCAGTGACGGAGGTGAAAGGTCAAAGCTACTCACTCTGCATCTGAAGTGGCTTCTTTCTGGAGTTTTGCTCTGGCTGCAGCTGACCGGTTCAAATCTCCTCCTGGAGCAAGAGAGAGGGAGATGGAGAGATTAAGAGGTGAGTGAGTGTGGTGGAGAGGAGGGAGGTGTGTGCTGAGGAGTGACAGAGTAAAGTGAAGGGATGGGTAGATTGGGAAAAAAGCTGAGACAATATGGGGAGGGACAGCAGAGAGGAGAGAGTTCAAGGCTACAGTTTTATCATACCTCTGAGATAATCCACAAAGTACAGTGTCACCACTCCCATCAGTGCAACTGCAAGAAATAAGGGGGGGTAAACAATGTGAAGGATCACTGACAGTGTCACTCAAAAGTATCTCATCTCATAAACCATCACACAAACAGACAGAAGATACTGACAGCAGATACAGATGCAGAAAAACACTTCCAAAATCAGGTATCCTTTGGTGTCGAGGATGGCTCCTGCTGCCATGGCAATGAGAGCGAGTCCCAGGTTCTGGATCGACTGCATGCTGGTGGACAAAGGCAGACGATCGACATCAGCGTCAGTGAAAAGCACCAATTATTAGTCACTGTGACTAAGTATGAGATCAGTCATAACATTGTCACTGCAGGCACATACAAGCCATAGGCCGTCCCCAGCTGATGCTCAGGTACCACGAATGCCACCATGGGCCACAGCGCACAGGCCAGTAAGGAGTAGGAGACACCCAGCAGGGACTGGAAAACAAAAGAGGACACACATGCTGTCATTTATTCCATTCTTAAAGTCCCAGTTAAACAGACGTTAGGGTGAAGCAGAACATTTGCACGCTGTACAGGTTTAAATCAAATCCTTCACATTTGATTGTTTCACTATAAAGTGGGCGGGCTTGGTGCTAAGTGCGATACGGAGCTACAGCAGAGTCCTTTGCTGAGCAGTCTGTTTGCTCATCACACACTTTCCTCACCACTAGATCAGGAGGAGGACAACAGAGAGATGAATGAATTACATCTCCGCCATATTGTTTTGGAACAGGAATAAAAAATGCTTTGCCCATTGATATCCAAAAACACATCTTTCTCTATCTCTATACATAGCTGACCAAAGTTTCATATGACTAGATGAATTTTTGGAACTGTTTTACCTGGTTTTATGGGGACAAAAAAGAAAGGGATTTTGATGTAAAAAATATTCTGATAGAGATTTTTGAGATAACACAGCATCACATTAAACCGGGGAAATAAAATTTTCATTTCAATGGGTCTTTAAAGCAAAACCCTGTGCTCAATATCTTAATATCTAACTCGCACTGCTATCCAGTCTGAGTTTAAAGGAATACTTCTCCCACAAAATGATCATTTGTTCATCAATTACTCGCCACATGTTATCTTGAATTTGTACAGAGAACTTTAACTCAATTTAAGTTATGGGGGCTGCGTTTAACACCCTCACGCACAGTCAAGTGGCATGCCTCAGCAACTCAGTGGAATGCACAAGCAGAGTTTAAAGGGATAGTTCGACATTTTGGCAAATTCACGTATTACCGTAATCCCTATAGTCATATGAGTAGGTACATTACCTTTAATTATCAGTGCCTGTTGTTCTGAGATCGGTGGGGCAGAGCTGCCTACTGCTCAGCGCACAAAATGGAGGTGAACGGCACAGGTCCCTCTCTCCCTCAAAACTAATCAAATACACCATCAAATGACTCCAAAACGCTCTTGTGGACAACTTGTAGCTTACGCATTCACCACGCTATGAAATAAAAATTTAATATTACGAGACAGAGTTGTTTTGAAGCCAAATGCACAGCCGGAACTACATTCCAGACATACAGTACTTGCTGGGCGGAGTGATTTCAAACAGTTTCGGCTGTGCATTTGATTAGTTTTGAGGGAGAGAAGGGGCCTTACCGTTTATATATAAATAGGCGAATTTGCCAAAATGTCGAACTATCCCTTTAAGCGCACGATTTTGCCCATGAGCACTACTCGTATGCCGAAGTGTTTTAAACCGTAAGGTTTGAGTGAAAATGCATGTGTTTGGGAAGCACTGGGCATACGACTGAGTAAATGAGACTTTGATTACACTGCACAAGTTGTGTATGAGTATGTAAACAGATGTTTGATATAGTTTTGCTGTTGTTAAACACAGCCCCCTGTGACTTCAATTCATCAAGAGTACACATTGTTTTCAGATTCTTCGATCACCACTGAGGCGTGTGAGAAAAATTAAGCTTTACATAAATTCAAGGTTATGAGGCATGACTAACTTAAGCCCCCTTTCCATTGCATAAAAAACCTGCTAACACACGCTAACATCTAGCTTTTTAATGTAACGGGAAAGGTTACAATCAGCATTCACACGCAGATTAAATGACTCTTTAGTAGTCACAAGTATTTATTGGCTCCGGCTCTGATCGGCATTGATGGGAACACAACAGCCTGTTGAACACACAAATTTTAGCCCTGTAGGAGCAAGAATATGTACTTAACCTCTCATGTTTATAGTTGTTTAGGCTGCACACGTTCTTTGGGTCGCTTTCACTTCCGGTAGTAATTGTGGGTGTGGTTTTACATTATTTTATCTGTTCATTCACTGGTGTGGTGGCTTTTAGACAAAGAGTGTGAGTTTTGGCTCCAATGTTTTCTGTTGACTGCAATCATTTAATCACATCATGTAATCACAGAAACTAATATTTCACTTCATCTAATTTTGTGTTAGCTATCTCAGTTGTTTGTTAAATAAACCATTTTAAAACTTAATTAATTAGTTAATTTCTTTGTATGCAAACTTCCATTTTCCCTTCCAACTAAGGCTGGAAGCTCACTGCAAACTGATGGGTTTGCTTAGTGGGACAAAATTCAACAAAAACTTTAAATGAACTTTCTGTTTCGAGGAAGCTGTATCCACACCCCCTATGACTAACAGTTTTTCCATCGAGCTTGGAAACTATTACCTAACAACCCCAGTGAGAACTGACATTTATGCTCAGTGCAATTCCTTCTTTCAGTTTGTCCTACAGCTGTGATGAATGTACAAGATAAGATTTTGTTAGAGTATAGTGCAAAAGGTTGCCAGGGGCACTACCATTGCGATCCATGGGTTCCAGAAGGTGAAGGCCAGCATCATGTGAGCAGCGAGCGTGGCGACCACAGCGATCATTACCCAAATCACATTCCTTCCCGTCTTATCAACCATGAGGCCCAGAAGTGGAGATGCAGGGGCTGAGATGATGTACACAATACTGGGGAAGATAGAGAATGACATGCATTTTCATGACTGGAATCTAGACTAATCTAAATGTAAATGTGTAGTTCAAGCTAGTTAATGATGGAAATCCAAGTAAAGAAAATCTATCTGCAAAAGTCAGTCTTTAAAATAAGAAAAAATATACTCCACTATAGAAATGCAAAACCACCAGAAACCAAAGACTATAATGGTGTTAGTGCCTTCAGGTAGCTTGGTCTCAATGGCCTGTTACACCTGATATGAGTTACCTGTTGACAGCTCTGGCCTCAGCTGGGGAGAAGTTGAACTTTTCAATGAAGAACACCCTGTAAATGAAAAGACATGGTGATGGGCTCAGAGTGCACACTGCTGCTCGACCTTCATATTGATGTGACCACAACAGGAGAAATCAAGTTGACTCCTGCAGCAGGTAGCTCTCGCTCTTCCATACATTGTTTTCTGCTCCATTTGCATAACGAGTATTTGCTCTGCAAGCACTGACCCTCAGTGGAAAAACCATGTCAGTTGCTAAGTGATTTGAGAGTGCCTTTCAGAGAAGGAAATGCAGGTCATGATAGCCTCAATTGGTTTCTTTCACTGCAAACCCATTTGTCAAACCTCTTTCCATTCCTGACTCCCTCTCCCTCCCTTTGTGGTTCGATGACAACACAGCATTGTGAGGGCGCACTGTTGAATCTTTGCTCAGACACAGGTATTGTGCTGATTTAATGGAGGTTCTCAATTGAATTCATAACACATGATTTCACTATAATACCACCTTCAAGTGAATTGTGTTTTTCTCAAGTCAAGGACGAGTATTGGTCAAGCTATTTTCATCAGAACCAAATATGCTGTTCCATCATTTCAGCGTACAAAGTCCCTGATTTCAGAATGATGCTGAAAACACACCAAGCAAAGTCCAAGTGCAGCTCACCGCAATAAATACAAATTTCTAAAGCTGGTAGGTGTGCTCATGTGTTTCAGGCAGGGAGAAATTATTTGTAACACATGTTAACATGTCACAGGAGTCACAGGACTCTGATTACTGACTGGCCCCACGATTTTGGAAGGAATGGTATTTTATGCATTTAACTTTCACTGATTTGATTTTTGCTGGGGTCTGTACCAAACTAGGATGTTCCCTTATGTCTGGAATATGACGTGTAGGCTGGAGCATCTCTGCAGCACCACAGTGTTTCATTTATGATGGTATGCTTTGATGCATTTTAATATAATCAAAAAATTGCAGCTCCTGCAATCTAGTTTTTGCACTTGGCCATATTGCGTTTTCAATAATACTTCACTTAATGGTACAGCCCTTATGCAAAGTATGTCTGTGTCATACTTTATAGGCATTATGGATTTATTGAACTGCATTATATTGTACAAGTTACCTAATAAAGTGATTGACACATGTACAATTATAATGACAATGACAACAAACCAACAACAATAATAAGTATATATATTTTTGAATTACTCTGATCTAAAAGCCACTGACCAAGTATAAGCATAAAAGAATAATTAGACAGAAAGTAGGGACCGACTGTCTTTGGTCATAGAGATGAGACAATGATATGGATGTTTTAAGCCTAGTTCAGACCAAAGAATCATGACCAGATTAAATATTTTTAGAACGTTGCAGAGAAAATTCGCAGCGGTGTGAACTGGCCAGTCTGAGCTCGACTCAAGCTGGCTGATGGGGTCACCTGCAACTCAGCTATTAGAACATAAAACACGTCACCTGTTTCAACAGCCAAATGGTTTAAAGTGAAGTCTGCTGTTCAAGTAAAAATGGTAAACGGACTGCACTTGTATGGTAACCTGGAAATCCAGATGCCCCGCCCCTAGCAAATTCTAATTTTCACTGCATGGGGATCTGGCCCCGACAAGCAGAGCCCGCTGAATTGCCATCAGACCAATCAGATCAGTCTATCTGACAGAGGTGGGCTCTGGGCGCACGTAACATGATGAGGACAGCGCTGCGCCGTAGGAGTCGAAAAGTAAACAGCCAAGATGGCAGCCGCCAAAGGACCGCGTCCATTCAATGTAGCTGGATGTTATCAATGTTATCTTTTTCCTTGAGAGAAGAACAGAAGAGATATGGCAAAAGCATAATATATCAATTGGTGGACGACCGGCTCTACCTCCTGAGCTTCAGCCACAGATGGCATGTTCACTTGCTGTAGCAGGTGCTCCGTCCCCACCGTGCCCTTTGTTTCCGTCCTCATTGCGTACTGGTGCCGGAAGGTGGATAGCTGTTGTATGTGCTTATGCAACAAATTATATTCAGCCACAAAATAAGCTTGAAGAGCTGGAAATAAGAACGGGTGTACAGAGAGTTGCTGCACAGAGATGATACACCGTCTCATCTAGTTGCATTGGTGTGAACAGGCAAGGTTTAAGAATGGCGCATTCCAAGGAGTTGCCTGTTTCAACTTGTCTTGTTGTGAATCATTGGTCTGGACTGGGCATTACTTAAGTGACACAAAGACGTCTGAAGACCACCAGGGAAAGCTTGTGTATATGTGTGTGTGTCTATATGTGAGAGACAGATGGCACTGATGTAATACTCACTGTCCCAGTCCAATAAAGGGGAAAATGGCGACATAGTAGCACACGCAAATGATGAAGATGAGCCACAGGGGGAAGGGAAAGTCTTTCACATCTGTCAGCTTGATCACCTCACCTAATATGCAAGATGAACACACATGCAGATCAGCTTCAGCGCAATATATGCTTTCAACAACTGTGACAGAACAACGGCTGAAGCCAATGAACTGTGGGGCCAGAATGTCAATAACTACAAAAACAAAATGGGGGTGACTGTGAAAAACATTCTAGTAGTTATTGACTGATGAAGATAAGACAGGCACAGTCTTGGAATGCATTACCAGTTTTGCCCTGTTCCTTGTGGAGGATCCTCTCTGCTCTTCTGTCGAGGAATCCCAACACCAAGGCACAGATTAGTGAAAACAGGCAGGTTACAGCAGCTACAGAGGAAAAAAATAAATACAAAACATTAACAGATATGGAGACCACAAAAACATAAAGTAGGGGAAATGTAAATTCAAGTTATGCTTTGGTGATAAGGTTATCAAGCAGTTCAAATAAGGATGTCTGATGGCTGCTGATTGAGTCTATTGTTCAAAAGTGGAAGCACTTTTAGCACAAATAAGAAGTGACTGAAGAAAATTATAAGAAGTGACACTTCTTCTTAGTCGTGTGACTCATCTGTAGCAGCCTGCAGCACTTTTAGTTCTCTATACCACTTCTCCCTATCGCTGCCGGCTGTGTTATCTGAGATCATTAGTAACAGAGAACAGATCTAGTATCTCTAACAGAAGCAGAGATGAAGTAACCTGAGTCTTCATGTTTAACACTTGCCAATTTCAAGTCTTCTTCTTAAGTGAGGCACACACCTCCCGCTAAAGCAAAAGGGTGTGATGATATTTACCTATCATGAGCGATGCGCCCAGTGTGGTGTGTCCAGGAGAGCCAATGAGGTCTGCGACACCACTGTAGACCCGGCCCATGATGTTCATGTTCACTGTGCTGCCCTTGAGACCAGTAGAGAAGAGTTGTATGTTTACCATGTTCAACATGTAATTTGAAAGCATGTATAACTTCACGTCCTGTTGGCAGCATCCTTACCAGGCGAGCCATGCTCAGCTGAAGCCCAAACACCAGATTTAGCTCTTTTCCTTTGAACCAGTTGACTGCATACGTGTTCTGGGCCACGGCCAAGGACTCTCCTCCGATACTGTCCAGGAAAAGGAAACAGGGAGGGGGACGTGTCAGCCATGTGATAGCACAAGATAACCTCCATAAACAATTAAGGGTCACACAAGGCTGAGTATTTGACAGGTTTAGATTTTCTGTGGCGATTTTTTCTTTAACAGTGCTAGTAAAAGGTACCAGATGTGGGGTGGTATCATGTGTAAGCATGGGTGGATTATACAACAATGGGCCCCTGGGCACAGATATGCAAAAGGCCCCACCACCTCTCGAACACAGGAGCAAGACACACAGACTTTTAAGTTGTTTTGCCTCTTTTTGGAGGCGTTATGCATCTTTTTATGGTTGTCGCTCCAGTGTTTTTGATCATTTTAAGTCTCTTCCTGGTACCTATTAATTTGAGTAACATTCCAAGTAAAGACCAATGGGGCCCCTGACACTTTCAGCACCTGAACCTGTGCCTTGTGGGCCCGTTCAGCAATCCATCCATGTGTGTAAGGGTGCAGAGAGCTGGTCCCTGGTATGTGAAGTTGTTAGATTATGATTGTAAAACACATGATGTTTTTTATTACAATGGAAAATGATTTGCTCACCCAAATACAAAACGTCCAACTTCCATGAGCCAAAAACGATTCACTAAAGCTCCAGTAGCAAATATGACCTGTGCAGGGTGGAAACGTTGAAATATATTTACACTAAATAGATTTTCTGCACCTACTGATTCCCATTTATGTTGGTGCTTATATTCTCTGTCTATATGTTAAAGTAAACCTACCTGTCCAACACAGACGAAGAGGGAAAAGATGATGGTTCCCAGCCTAGTAAAAAAAAACAATGTAAGATGGCACTGCCAAGAAAGTGCAAAAAAAAACCCAGACGCTTTCACTTTCACTTATGGTGAATACACTTGACTCATAATAGATGTGACTTAGTGGTCTCCATACCTGATGCCAAAAACCCTGTCAATCAGGAACCCCCCAAAGAAGCAGAGCACCACATTGGGCCAGGAGTACCAGGCGTACAGCTCCATGAACTTTGCAGTGTTCAGGTTCAGATCCTAGAACAGTACAGACAGACTCTCGTCCGTCACTTCATCAGTTCTGGTTTTATTTTTCACCTTTAACATCTCAGTGTGAAAAACGGGTGTCTGGATAAATAAGATCCTGTAATCATGGCAGCACTTAGGAGTGGGTTAATGTGACTGTTGTGGTTGAATTATTACACAACGGGATACATGTGAATAGTTACAGTTGTGGTGTATCACACAGGTGTGCAGCTTTCTACAGAGGATGAATTACCTGAAGGACTTGAGTTTGAAGTGCAGCTGGGTTGTCATAACAGAAGTAGCTTCCTGAAACAAATGACCTACATTAACAGACTATATAAACAATGATACTGCATTTCTTTAATGCCACGTAAGCCACGAAGGGAAACACTATCAAAAGCTTTCTTTATAAAGAATATAACTTATTAAATGTAGTCACAAATCTCCACATATTCATTAATTGGGGAAGTGAGGCTTTCCACTGCTCACCGAATCCCAAGAAGCACATAAACACCAGGACCACCACTCGGTGCAGGAGGTGGCTCGGGTCGCAGATGGCCAGCAGGGGTCTGCCGTCTCCCCCGGCTGTGTGTCTGCCGCTGGAGCCCTCGTCCTCGTCTCCCAGTAGACTCTGCCGCTCCTCAAAGTCCGCCATGTTCGTTTGTTTGGGATTTGCAGGGGGAAAGTTTACGGCAGCGAGGAAGACGTAGCTCGGTCACATGATCCCGCAGGAATGTCACGTGGCCTTAGCCTAGTAGCTTGTAGCTCGAGCTATCCGGTGTTTATGTGGGCGCGTGCCTGCCGAGAAGTTCAGGCACCTCGCGGGAGCGCGCTCAGTATGTTAAGGAACGCGAGAGAGCCTGCAGTCGGTCAGCAGACTGTGATGACAGACGGGCAGTAACTTGATATAATGTTTTAAACACAGAGCACACATCCTAAAAGATGATGTATGTATTAATTTAATTGTATTTTATTTCATCATATTTTATTTTACTTCATTTTATTCTATTCTATTCTATTTTATTTCATTTTATTTTGTTGTATTTTACTTCATTTTATTTCATTTTGTTTTGTTTGAGTTTATTATATTTTACTTCATTTTTTAATTTTATTCTATTTTATTTCATTTTATTTTATTTTACTTCAATTTTATTTTATTTTGTTTTATTTCATTTTATTTTACTTCATTTTTATTTTATTTTGTTTTATTTCATTTTATTTTACTTCATTTTTTATTTTATTCTATTTTATTTTACTTCATTTTATTTTGTTTCATTTTATTTTATTTTATTTTACTTCGGTTTATTTTATTTTGTTTTGTTTTATTCTATTCTATTTTTTTTTTTTTTGTGCCCCTAGGTTATTATCTTCACACTTAGATTTTAATGGTACCTGTCACTCAAGATTAATATAACATTATATATACACACACACTCACTCACTTTATTAGTTACACCTGTCCAGCTGTTCATTAATGCAAACAGCTTATCAGCCAATCACGTGGCAGCAACTCAATGCATTTAGGCATGTAGGTCAAGACGACCTGCTGAAGTTCAAACTGAGCATCAGAATGGAGAAGAAAGGTGATTTAAGTGACTTTGAATATGCAGGTTGTTGGTGCCAGACAGGCTGGTCTGAGTATTTCAGAAACTGCTGATCTAATGGGATTTTCACCCACAACCCTCTCTAGGGTTTACAGAGGATGGTCCGAAAAAGAGAAAATACCAGTGAGCAGCAGTTCTCTGAAAGGTAACAGTAACTCAAATAAACACTCGTTACAACCATGGTATGCAGAAGACCATCTCTGAACCAAAAGCATGTCCAACCTTGAAGCAGATGGGCTACAGCAGCAGAAGACCACACCAGGTGCCACTCCTGTCAGCTAACAACAGGAAACTGAGGCTACAGTTCACACAGGCTCACCAAAACTGGACAAAAGAAGATTGGAAAAACGTTGCCTGGTCTGATGAGTCTGGATTCCTGCTGCAACATTCAGATGGTAGGGTCAGAATTTGGCATTAAAATCCTAAAAGCATAGCTCCATCCTGCCTTGTATCAATGGTTCAGGCTGATGGTGGTGGTGTAATGGTGTGAGGGATATTTTCTTGGCACACTTTGGGCCCCTTAGTACCAACTGAGCATGGTTTAAACACCACAGCCTACCTGAGTATTGTTGCTGACCGTGTCCATCCCTTTATGACCACAGTGTACCCATCTTCTGATGGCTACTTCCAGCAGGATAACGCACCATGTCACAAAGCTCAAATCATCTCAAACTGGTTTCTTGAACATGACAGTGAGTTCACTGTACTCCAATGGCCTCCACAGTCACCAGATCTCAATCCAATAGAGCACCTTTGGGGGGCTCTGCAGAAATAAAACCTGATTTAGCTTAGCTCTTTCCATTAGATGGTGGCTGTATGCATCTGAAGGCCCTAAGAATTTATAGTAAATTCTTATTATTATTCTGTGTGCACAATATAATTAAACTGTCCCCACAGATTAATTTATCTTGTGGGAACAAGGTACTAATTTGTGTGCACAAGATTAAATTGAGAAAAAAAGGTATGTAGATAGATTTATAGCACCTTGGGGGATGGCCTTGATAGAAATCATGTTGATTTGCAGATCTTTGGGTGTCAGTGTGAAAAGGTTATATTAACCGTCGCTACTTACAGGCGCTACTTTAGATATGTAGGCCTACCAGGTTTGCACTGTACCACCTCCAGGAACCCTTTCAACCCGTCTTACATGTGATCCTAAGTCTAGGCCATATGAGCCCACAGAGAATTATTACCCAAATTTATGAGCTCACCCTCATGTAACCTCAGAGTTTACTACTTAATTTTTATGCCAAAAGCCTTGTTTTTATGACAACCTGCAGTCTATTTCATGACCCTGTTTCAGCAACAACAAGCAGACATTTTAAGCAGTCTTTGAACCCAGTGCATGCTACCTACCCAACTACAACACACAGACAAGTATATGCAGTTTGAAAACAGAGAGCTGGACTCAAATGCATATAACTGCTACTGTTTACTGTGTTTAACTCTATAGGGCAATAAGATGTGGGGGCTGTGTGTTCTGCCCACTTCTGGGGACTAATTTTGCCCCCTAGCGGCTAAAATAGATTATTGCATATTTTAAGCACATGTCAGGCTGGCTTGCCCTCTGATTTGCCTTTACAGTCTCAAAGTTAAGGCTACCTTTCTCCTCAATCTTGTTCTGTTTCATTATTTTCACTCACTGAAGTTTGACCAATTGAACAAAGTTTCAGAATGACTTTTCTGACCCAAAGCTTAAGCCTAAGATCTAATAAGCTGCCCATAAGCCATTTCTCTGGGGCTTCTTGACATGAAGCAGTTTATAAACTTCTGCTGACTGGCATCGCTGACATGCAGATTTGACAGGTTTCTCTGACATGCAAGCTTTACCACCTTGTTTCATCAAGAAACTGTCAGCCCCACACCTGTGCCTGCCTCATATTTATCTGTCCCCAACTTGTGTCTGTGCATACTGCCAGGCAACATTATCTACGGGGTTTATTTAATTTCCATGAATGTCATTTAGAATTTCTCATAATTCACCACTGCGGGGTCATCTGTCAGAGGATTTAATCTGAGGGTGAAGAACGGCCCTTCCCCCGGCTGCAGTCGCCGCTCCGACCGCTCTGTAGCTCATTAATTTCCTGCCCAAATATCAGCTTCTGTCGTGGTCGACAGAGGGTGGGAATGGAGGAAGATCATATTTCATTATTACATTAATCAGACCCACATGCAGACACGATTGTAAATCAGGTGGGAGGTGACATTAATCCTGCAGAACCAGTTTGTAAATGTCCTAAAAGGCCGTATTCAGGGTATTGCAGCATTGGAAAAAGTCAATTTATTCCAGTTCTATATATTCTTTTCTTCAATTCAAAGATTAAATACGCAGTGATGCTACTGCAATACTTGCAAATGCTGGCAGCGTTGCACGGCATTGTTGGCTTTGGTTTAGATTCAGTGCTATCAAAGTGCAAATCTGTGGCCAAGCAGTATGAGTGTGCAAATCATGTTTGTTAGTTGCTGAATGATCAGTGTCTCAGACACTGGTAAGCACCAGTCTTCAATAAAAAGAGTCAAATCCATTAAGTAAACATATTCATCTCTAGTCAAAGCTTAGGGAAAATCAAAGTAACTTCCCCTATTTTTCGTCTGTGATGGTATATTTTACATTAGCCTAAGCATGAACTATGAATCATCATCAGAATCTGTGTCAGCACTGCTGTGGTAGAGGAACCGGGTTCAGGTGGTATGGTCTGCCTTTGTTGTACAGCCACCTTAGCTCTGTGCAAGAAGTAATAACCTTTTCTCTTTGTCTTTGTCTCGACCACAAATGCCATTTCATCACAGGCTTTAGAGCGCTAGTGCCCAACCGGGGGTTTCCAGCCTCCACAAGCTTCACAGGGGGGTGGCAAGGTCTTCTTGATTTTAGGGGTTCAAGAAAACTTCGAAAAAATCATACAGTACGCCTATTTGAAGACGAAAACTAGATTAAATTTTTATTTCAAAGTTTAGATTATTATTCAAGATACAGACTTAAAAAAATCTCATGATATAAGAGCACCGTGATGACCTGAGCACAAGCAGAGCCTTCACTCTCTGCTAAACAGCCTCATCCTGCATTAGAAAAGTACAAAATTAAAACAACCAAAGAGCTAAGAGGATTATAGCCAAGCATCAGGAAGAAGAAATGCTGAATCCGTCACAAAAAAAGAAGCTTAGTAGCTATGTATGATTGTTGAAAATAAAAAAATACATAATCCAGACAGAATTGTGTAAAAAGTTCCCTAAACTACCAGGTAACGTCATCTGACAAACTTGTCTCTGATGTCGTATTCATAAGAAATAATCCGCTCAAAAATTAATTTGAACAACTTATTTTACACAAACCTCTTGTGGTTATTGTGCTCACTATTTGGGTTTATTATTCAGTTTATCAGTTGTTCTGTACTGTTATAGTTAGCATTTAATATAATATGAAATATCCCTGAAATATATCAGTCAGACTTCATCAGTTTACTCAATTATAGAAAAGAGATCCCTCAAGGAAAAATGTTGGGAACCATGGTTTTTAGAATAATGTCCTAGCTCCTCAACCTTCTCTTGAACCTCATCCACATGTGACTCTAACCTGAAGTATAAAAAGTCAGCATCATGCAAGAGTAGTATGAAAAATAACAATTTTATTATTATTAATGCCTTTTATATAGCATGAAGTTACACCTGTAAGCAGTGTCTATTGCATTCCTCATTTGGTTATCATACGGTCCCGGCAGTCACGTTGTGCCTGTGGTGCAATCATTGGAGAATATGCGCTGTCAAGATGTTTACCCTTTCGCCAGAGTTTTTTGAAGGGAAATTGCAGTTTGAATGAGATTAGAGAAGAGGAGGAAGTGGAAAGTGACAGTAAGCACAATTAAGGAAACATGTTGGATGACTTAGCAAACACGAAGTTCTTGGTTAGTATACTGTGTGAGAAAGAGTCATCATCAGTGGTGTGAAACTTCATTACCACCTCCAGACATGTTTGACTCTTTTCTGTCACAGCGTTGTCCATTTTTTGTTTGTTTTTGATTTTGTTCACCTTACATTAATTTTATAATTTATACAACCAAGATAAAATGTTATTTACAAGTCAAATAACCTGCCAGGCAGTGTCTCGTCACGCCTTGACAGTTACAGTTATTAATTTTTCATTGTACATTGTCCAGAATCTTACTGTGGAATCCCGTTATACGACAGTCTGTTACTTTGGGCGATCTTTGACATCTCCAGTTGAGTTGACGTTGCTGTGGACTCCGTGCCACCTTTGTTGAGTGGCTTACGGCAGATTGTGGCTGTCAGTCTTCTCCTGAACACCTTACACAGGAACACATAGATAAGCGGGTCCAGGCACACATTAGTGGCGGACAGCCACAGGGTGGTTTCCTTTGCAATGTAGAGAGCGTTCTGTGCCCGGCAATGACTCGCCAAGCTACCAGTTTGGGTCAGAGTGTAAGGAACGCGGGCAAAGTGAAAGGGGGCAAAGCAGATGAAAAACACCCCCACCACCACAAACACCTTTGCTTTGGTTCTGCGACTGGCCGCTTGAGATCTGCTCTTTGAAGCTTTGTATGACTCATAAACCTTCTTGCTGATGAACGTGTAGCAAACCACCATCAAGGCCAGCGTGCCCCAGAAAACCACCTGGAAGTACATAATAACAACACATTAAGCAAGGCAGGGACTCCTCACGTTTTTCATTACCACTCATTTTCATCAGCTGTAATTGAGTCACTAAAAAGGCCAACTGTAGTATCAACATTTTAATAAGTATGTAGTGAAAACACTCTAAAAACGATTCATGAGATTAGTGGATAACGCCTAAAATAAACAAGTTTTTCCTCATTAAAAAATTATGTTTGTTTCATGAATGTGTTTTACTCAGTTGACAACTAATTTAAAGAAGTTTGTTGGCTTTTGACATGTTTGAGTAGGATGGAATACAAATAATTCAGAATATTGTCAATAAAATAGTTTGACCACTAAATACCAACACAACTTATTGATAAATATTAAGTTGGTTCAACTAAATTAAGGATTTTTTTACAAGGTCAAAACAAATCATGTTGGTTGTACTTAACTAATTGAGTTTGTCAGATCATAAAAGACTCGTAGGATTTACTCTATAAGACCAGAGTTGGAATGACTTAAAAAGATGCATGCAAATTTTTACCTTTTTTTTTTTTTTTTTTTTTTTTAATAGAATGAGTGGATTCATTTTTAGAGTATAGCAGGGGTAGGACCAAGTCATTGTTTTGCAAGTCACAAGTAAGTCTCAAGTCCTTGCATTTAAGTCTTAAGTCATACCCCAAGCCTAGACAGACAAGTCCTGAGTCAAGTCCCAAGTCAAAAAAAGGAAAAGTTTACAAAAATCATGAATACTTTTACAAATTTGCGTTTATTTTATTTATAAATTTTCATTTATTTTATTTCTAAAAAAATGGAACTAATTAAAAAAAATGACAAAAATCATTAATTCTTTTTTTAAAAATTGTGTTTATTTTATTGATAAATTTGTGTTTATTTTATTTATTAAAAAAAGGAACTGATTATAGGTAAAATAGTGACTGATCAGTTGGTAGCCTTGTGATTCATTGAGACTTTTAGTCAAGAGAACAGGTGACCTCACAATGCGTCAACATTGGTCAAATATGAAGAATTTTAACAAGTTTGTTAAAAATGATTTAGCTGTTAAACTAACATAAGTTAACAGGGTTCCTGCAGACTTTTTAAAGTCAAATTTACCTTTTTAAGACCTAAACAAAAAAATTAATACTATTTAACATCAACAAACGGCATTAATACACAGCAGTAAACATCATGTTCACATCTCATCGGTGCTCCAGTGCCTGATGCTTTACCTCTCATCGTCCCAAGTTTTTCAGTATATCTTCTAAGTTGCCTCAATGTCATTACTTGTGACCGCATTACGAGTAATAAAGTCATAAAATTATATAACTAATCATGTAACTAGATACAGTAATAGGTAGATTTGATTAGGTTTTCAGACATGTCTCCGTTAGTCTAAGTTTCATCTCAAAATTTAAGACTTCTCACAAGTAAAAATAAGACTTTTTAAGACATTTTATGGCCTTAAATTTCCAAAATCAAATTTAATACTTTTTAAGACTTCTTAAGGATATGCAGGAACCCTGGTTAAGCAAGAGCCTCGATTTACTGTTCTTTATGTAACTTCAGATGTTGAACAAAGTTAGAAGTTGTTGGATCTTCATTTGTAATTTTTGATCCACATGTTTTGGATACTGCAATTCAGTGTTTGTTGATGAACAAATGAACAGAATTATTCTTGGTATAATTTTTTCCGATGGGCGCTGGGTAACGTGACATTAGTTCTTCATGGTTCTCTACTGAAACTTGATTGAATGCTGGATGGTTAAAAAAAACGTGGATCTGGGGAACAAAGTGCCGACTTGCAGGGAATGAATAGCGTTCATGCTTGTAGATTCAGGAAATTAAGGAAAATGAATTGATTTGTGGCACAGTTTTTATATAAAAATCTTTTTAGTCTTTGGTGGAAGGTATCAAGTATTTTCAAGTCTAAAGGCTCAAGTCCAAGTGAAATCAAGAGTCCAGTTGTCCAAATCATTTGTTAGGTCTCAAGTCATCAAATTTGTGTCTCGAATCTGACTTAATAGTGCACTGTATTTAAATTAAGTGATATTGAAGTAATAATTTGACATTTATGAAATCTGCTTGTTCCCTTCCTTGCTGACAGATGAGAATGTTGATAACACCCTCACTGTGGTATTTACCTTCTCTTCTAACTCTTGGCAAGAAAGCGTATCATCCAAAATGTGGAACTACCATAATTCAATAGCTACCTGACAGAAGTAGTTGAATCCTTCATGCCACAGCATGCCAGCTTTGCTCTTCATGGAGGTGCACTTCAGTCTGCCTCCAGAGACCCGTGGCGGCTGGTCACTCAGAATAACGTTGGGTAACGCTAAAGACAACATGACCACCCAAATGGCTGCACTGAGGATCTGACCAACACGAACCCGCTGCAGGGCACACTTCCCAAAGGGCCTGACTATCTTCAGGTAGCGATCCAGGCTGATGAGACCCAGCAAGAGGATGCTGATGTACATGGTGATGTAGAAGAGAACGGCAGAGTATCGGCAGTGGAAGGCGCGCAGTCGCCAGGAACCCACACCTGCATCGCTTAAGACTCTCAGAGGGATGGTCAGGGTCATCAGCAAGTCAGCCACCACCTGTTAATGAAAGGGTCTGTTTTAGTTGTTGCTCTGCACAGACAAATGTAAAACAGCCAAAGCCCTGGTGTCTTACCACATTTTTCAGAAAGACCACAAATGTGGAGGAGCTGGGGATGTTGAAGAAGATCCATGCAGCCAGGGAGTTTAGTATGAGGGCGACTACGAAGAGAATGCTGTACAGACAGGGGAAAACCACCGCTGTCACACTGGTGTCCCGAACGCACTTGATGGAAGTGTTTGACAGGGTGCTGTTCATTTTCCGACCTTTGGAGAGGTCAAAGAGAGGAGAGAGGAAATAAGATAAGGCTAGGAAAATACACAGTTAAGTCATATGAAGACATGGAAGAAATGATGTAAAGAGGGATCAGTGTAAATGTTGTCTAGAGAACATAAACATTTTGAAATTTCCTCCTGGAAGTTGCTCAAAAAGAACTGCAGATGACTTCTCTTTCTTTCTCAACTGGTTTTAGGACTTAAGTCTAAAGAATTAGGTGTCTTTCTGTCCAAATTCAGCAAGTAAAGGCCACTTTCTGTCACTTAAAGGAAACATACAAACATTAAACACATTGTAAGCCTTCTATTTCTTTACATTTAGCAAGGGGTCACTCAGCAGAAGTGACTGCTGTCAGTTCGTAGTGGTACGACTGCCAATTTAATTCAACAGTCCGAATGCTGAGGTAAACTTATAGTAATGTACGGTGATAAAGACGCCCAACAGCTAACTTCTGCATTAGTTCAGTGTGAATTCTCCCCCTGCCTGGCAGTATATCTGCTGGTGTGTTGTCTTTACATTGAAAACCTTAACAGCTTAGAATAACACTGAGGCCAGGAGCAGGAGCTATGGCAACCAAGATCTATACTACTCTCAAACTTTTGTCTGTTTAGTGTGCGTGCTAATGTTAATTAGGTGTGTTACAACAAATTCTATCTTTGAGCCCAACTTAGACTGGTAGTCTATCTACAAGATGCGCTTGTAAAGTCAGTAATTGAGTCTTACCTTCTTATTGTGTCCTTATCGTCTGTGACCGTGGGGTGCGTGAGGAATAATGAATAATGTGTTGAAAAACTACAGTATTTCAAAAAAAGGAAGACATGAAATATCCAATTCCCCTTTCCTCTTCTTACCCACAGGAAAGAAATGTAACTAAAGAAACCCCAAGACTGAAAAAGCTCTTAGTCTTACTTTCTTCAATCAATTAAGAAATAGTACCCCTGACCTAAAGAGGTTTCCTTCTGTCTGCCTTTCTCAGTATTTCTCTCTCCTTGTCTTTAAGCGTGTGTGTGTGTTTGATGCTCTTACAATGGGTGGTCTCTGGAGCTACTGTGTGGCTGTCTTGTCACAATCCCAATGAGTTTGCCAGTCTTCCTCCGGGTGAAAGACCCTTTCCTTCCTTGCTTCCTGTTCCAATTGTCTGCTGAGAGGCTAGTTCTACTCCGTGCCAGTCCCCCTGCCTCCGCTAGCTTGCGTCAGTCTTAGTGGCTGCTGACAGGCGAACACCAAAGCCATGGACTCATTTCATGACCCACATCTAGAGACCTCCTGCACACCACTGCTCCTCCCTCCACCCTGCAACTTATATACCCCACCTCTATCTATCTCATTTCTCATCATGAAACTCGCCTAAGCACTAACCACAGACACAACCCAAAATTTAAAAAAAAAGGAAGAGACGTGCAAAATGACTTCTCACTTCTTATGAAATGTGGTTTTATGGTTCAAGCTATGCTGTGACAAGGGAGGCAAGTTGTTTATTACTAGTTTGTGCAAATGTAAATGTATATTGTATCGTCCGTACATCTGTTAGTGTGTTTTTGCAACACATTACAAGTGCACTGCAAGTTATTGAACATTCACTTTCACTTGTATCTGATTAAGTTCTGCTTTCTTTAAGTCCCTTTTGTGCTGTCTTGATATAAATAGTGCATTCTGAGAAGAACAACATGATTTCCTGTGAGGTTTAACTTGGATCTGTGCCATGAATGCGTCCGATGGGAGAAAAACTGGCTGAGAAATGACGTGCATGTGTTTACAACAGGTCCACGAGTGAGCCGCTGGTTATTTCTAGAGAATAATTATATTATATATTTAGGGTTAACATCTCCCTCTACAATATATTGAGAAAAATTCAAATAAAAATGTCTATGCTATGACAGGCAACTATACACTGTCATCTGAAATAATCATTAGTAAATGTAAATATACTCAAAATTAAACTTAACAAAATGCCATTATTATTACTACCGATTCTAGTATCATGGTGTACTGCAGTCCTGGGTTTGTCCAGTTTGTCCAGGTGGTGTTGCCGTACCTGTAATGTCCTTTTATTTCAATACAAATGTATTTAAAAGTGGAAAACTACAGTGTAGTATGATTGTTATGTAAGCTATACTACTGTTGGTGATGAAGTGTTAATACGTCATGACCAATGTCATGATAAAAGTTCATAAAAAAAGTAAAACAGTATAGCATGTAAAAAAAAAAAAAAAAAAACGCCATAAAATGTCATAAAAAATGTCATAGGGTGTACACCATTCCTTTGTGACCCTCAGTCATATGCTGGCTCCCTAAAATGGCACCCAGTCACCAAAACTTTGAGAACCCATAAATATGGACAGTGTAGGTTGTGTACAGGGGCCCGTGGGGTGGAGGGGCCCGATTGCCACATGGAAATACACTCATGTTCAAATTTCAGTACATGCCCTCAAAAAGGCATCTCCAACTATTAAGTTAAACTAATAATTTCCTATTGTCTTTTGTAGTTTTTGTCATATACAGATATGTTTTGATGATTGCTGGGTAATACTGTATGTATTGTGATGTTGTCCAGTATCAAGTCATCATTATGTAGCAAGCAGATACGATTTACAGCAGCTAGTTTAGGTGCAAAATCTCTTGAGACTGACAATTTGGGCACATCTGCAAGCGGATATAACATAAATGCGACAGTAAGACACACTGCTGGTAAAATATATAGGCCTGTGCCTAAAAGTCTGTGTGTGTGTGTGTGTGTGTGTGTGTGTGTGTGTACGCTTCATAACTAATGACTAGGGTACATTAGGGCCTGTCATAATAGCAGGCACTGGCGCCCATGGTAACTACCTTACACCGCTGCCCTGATAAAGATTTTTGTTTCAAAATGCTCCAAATTGGTAAGTTTAGCTGTGAAGTTTCTAAAAATGTCTCCATGGGGAAATTCCCCTCACACGGATGGGTCGCAGAAGGAGTACATTGCAAATGGTACATAACATTTAACAAAAATACAAACCCCACATTAAGACATTTACCAGCAGCCAGGTGATCTGTTGCAGAATCACAAACCACAATTAATACAGTGTTGCAGATTCACAGCATGCTTTATTTATTTTACAGCTTAAAATATACATGTATATAACAGACTTGTTTTTTTGCAGTAATCTTCTATGTTACGCACTGATTAGCATGCTGCACATCGATGACACTGGCTGACAGACACACTGCCCATCTGCAAAACCTTATTATAGACATGACCCATTTTACTGTCACCACACAAAATGCAACTACAGTGTGAGATGCAAATTTTAACTCGCCTTAGCTTAACTTGTTTTGCATGGCAGTTTCATTTACAGTCTCCAAACCTGAACTCTATTTGCCTTCTAATTTTGAATTTCCAGAGCCACTATAAAACTGTTTTGTTGACCAAACAGCTGCATAATAACCCCCTTGTGTGTCACATTGTTTATCTCATCCATCCTTATTGTATTTCCTGTAAATGGTTTTCAAGCTATTTAGAGCAACCTTTGACAAGACACAAAAAATAGCACAACTTCAACATGGGCGTGAAAAGTAAATGCAGTGAAGAGCAAACTGTCTCTATGTACATGAAACAATAATCAAACAGTCTGAGCTGAGTCCAGAACATCTTCATGACCTCCGTCAGACTCCGCTCTGTGGTGAAGTGCCCTCTGCTTTGCCTGCTGGGGCTACATTTTTATCATCGACGTCAGTGTCTCTTTGAACTCCCGACACAGAAAGACGTAGAGAAGTGGGACCATGCAGATGTTTGTGCTGGCAAGCCAGAGGCTGAGTTCCTTGGCAAACTTACTGCGTAAGTAAGAACAGCCGGTGCTGGAAGAAATCTTCACTTGTTCAAAAGTGTACGGGATCCTGATGATGTGGTACGGTCCGAACGACACAAAGAACACAATGACAACCAGAAAAACACGCAGTTTGACCTTCTCCTTTCCCTGGTTGTTGCTGCTGCCAGAGTTCCTAAAAGACTGGATAACTTTGTTTGTGATGCAAATGTAGCACACAGCGATGACCACGCTGACGAGCCAGAAGAAACAGCTCTGGTAAATCACTATATATCCATGGACTTCAAGTCCAACCGGTCCCTTCAGCTTTATACAACCGATGGTCCCTGTCCCATTGGCCACTAAATTGTTACTTAAAATGATATTTGGTACAGCTGTGCCTCCAAGCAGCACTACCCAGACTAAGCCTGATATCAGTTTGCTAAAGGTCACATTCTGACAAAACAACTTGCTGCGGGGCATCATGATCTTAGCGAAGCGGTCCACACTGACAAAGCCCAGCAGGGTGATAGATGTGTACTGTGTACTGTAGAAAATGGCACTGAGATAACAGGACAGTATGTACACTGCATCCGAGGTGTTCGGCAGTGCTCTCGCAGCTTTGAACGGGATGATCAAGGTCATGATGATGTCGGCAGCAACTAGATTTTTCAGGTACACCATAAAGGTGGAGGTGGACTTGAGGTGCAGAGACACCCAGGCTGCCACACCATTCAGCAACAACGCTATGGGGAACATCAAGAAGTAGAGAGCTGGGACGAAATTTGGGCTGTATATGAAGCTGTTACACGCTGAATAATTGTGAGATGTTTGATTCGGTGACATCGCTGCAACTGAGGAAAATGACAAAGTATAAAAACATTTTAGAAACCACCAATTCAACTTGTTAAGAAACATATTTTTCTAGGCTCTATCCTGCATTTTAAACAAACTTTAAACAAATGTTACAACATGTGCAATATCATGGACAGTTGATGATTTTAATAGTGTCCCACATGGTCACAGAGAAATCATTTAACAGCCGATAATTTGTCTCAGTTAAGATGTTTTTTGCTACACTTTCTCTGCTGTTTATTGTCAAAGGGAGGATCCATACAGTCATCCATTATCCGTCGCCTGTCCGAGTCAGGGCTGCAGGCTCAGCAAAGCAAAGGATGTTGTTTATGGTGTTGTTTACCATATAGTACAGGATTGAAGTGTAAATCAGTTTGTTTTTAATCAATCTTCTTTTGTTAAAATCTTTTCCCAACCAAATTATTATAGCTTATATGGTCTCCTTGGCCAGAACTTTACAAGTTGTGAATGAGGAAGTAACTAATTCAACTATTTAAACACTATCTGTCATATTTGTGACACCATGTACAACATGCAACATGCATTGCTTCTCTTGTACCTTATCACACTGTATTAATTTCAGGAGGAGATGTTAAAATGGTAAGCTTAGCGGGTATCTTTGTGATCACACAATAACCTATCACTGATCAAATTTCACATTAAGAACTAATTATGTAAAGAAAGATACATGATAACTTACAGATGATGACTGGACTCACAACTCTCCAACACAAAGCTACAAAAGGACCTGTGTGACAATGTACTCACATCATAAGTGTTTAAGAAACACTGTTGATTTTCCTAGCAAACAAATCAACGTTTCAGCTGCGCTCAGACTGGCAATTTTTCATGACATATGCAAAGATCGGGTTGCTGGTCTTTAGACAGAAGCAAAAAGACGTCATGCACCCGGCCCGCAGTGTAAACACCACTTACAGCACAGATTGAGACAAGAACCTCAGACATCACCATTGCGGTCTCACCTTTAAGATGGAGCTGTAAGGATTTATGTTCTGTTGTTTATAGAGCCTTCGACCTTAACTCTCCTGAATGTTTAATGCTAATCATCATCCACTGCATCATTAGCACAGCAAATGTCCCTGATATTGACATGTCCTTAGCTCTGAGTATCATTTGAAAGGCTAAATAGACATAATTTGTTTCCATACTGACCATTATTGTGTTGTTTATTCCTGGCAGAAGGAAATCAGCTTTACTTTGAGAAACATTGCAGCAGATAATGAGTTTTTAATTAAACAATCTAAAAGGACGAGTCATTTACTTTTTTTTGTGCTCCTCTTTTTCCCCTTTTTTGTTGCTTCGGTAACTTTATTTATTGATCGACTGATTGCTTGTTTGTTTGATTGACTGACTAGTCCATACCCATTGAGTACAGCATACCATACCATGACTTAGTCATACCAAAAATTAGAAAAAAAACCCCAAAACATTCGGCCACAGGGGGAGCCACAGCGATCGGTCGCATTTTAGCCATTTCTAAGCATTTTTCTGTTGTTATAGCGCCACCCAGTTGCCAATTAGAGTTAAATTTCTCCAGTCACCTTGAGGCCTAGTTAGGCCTAGATAAGAAATTAGCTCTCTAGCGCCCCCATTTTGTTTGATCGGGTCAATAATGGAGAGGTCCCCTCAGATTATGTGTGGTCATATGCCTACAAAGTTGCGTGGTGATCAGTGAAACCCTTGAGATGTTATACACCTTTATGTGATGAGCCACGCCCTCCACAATATTCATTGCCTTATAGAAGCTCAGTTTTAGTAAATTTTCCAACTTTTGCCAAGAGGGAACTTTAGATATTGGTCCCTAAATTATGCTCACCGAGTTTCATGCAGATCGGTCAAACTTCCTAGGAAGAGATCAATTTTAAGTGTTTTTCAAAAAATTCAAAATGGCAGAAAATCTATATAACCGGAAGTTATGGGTTCTTCATGAGGAGAGGCATCTCTGTGCAAAGTTTCATGTCTCTACGACATACGGGGCATGAGATATGCCCATTCCAAGTTTGCAATTTCAATCGGTTGCTATAGCGCCCCCCTTTGGCCAATTGATGTAATATTGCTTCATTCGCATCCTCCCATGACCCTCTACCACTGTGGTAACTAACAAAGTGGGTGCATTTGTATTTAATTTTAAAATTTTAAGGCACTTTATATTTACAATGCCATAACAAAAAATACAGTAAGCTACTTTATTATGAGAGTAATTAAATATAATGATATAATTTAATGAGACGATGAAAAACAGAATATTGGAAATTCATTCAGATAAAAGACTTTCCAGGGAAGCTGATAAATTTGGATTTATGAGAACTGAAGAGAAAAGAGTTTTATTGCAATTTATTTTAGCCCCTAGAATAACAGGCCAAATTTTGTTAGATAGAATTATTGTTTTATGCAGCAGGAAAATATACTTTGAGCTGAGTCCCCATTTCAACCCCAACTCCTACTGGCTGCAGTCAGTAAAAGTAATGAAGATAAAGGGGATGATTTATATATTCTCAACTTTACTCTTTCACTGTTTTATCATACTGATTAGTAAATCCCCATATAAACCACATGGGAGTAAAGACTGCATCATTACTCAGACTGTTGGTTGGACTGTATCTGCAGTGACCTCATCGCAGGACAAACTAAACAAAGGAAGACTTCAAACTTAAATTTATTGGTAGAGGTTTCACAATAACACATCAATATCAGATTAAAACATAATGTTGAGTTGTGAGAACTTGAAAGAAAAAATGTACTTAAATAAATACACTGTATATTTATACACACATAGCTGCAGTACACTGTACATTCATAAAAGATATGCAGCTCTAAGCCATGACCACATGTGAATTTATGTGTTTAAGTGGTTTTTCTCACCTAATTTAAAACATAATAACAATATTTGTATGTGTATTTCTGCAGTAAAATTGATATGTTTATCTTGCCCTGTTTCTCTTAATGGACCTTTACTCTCAATAGATGCTAATCCTCACTACGCCACTAGAGGGCAGTACAACATAAAAGTAAAGATCTGAAGTTGCTGTGAGACTACTAGGGTTTCTACTGCAAAGATTATCTTGCCTCCAAAAATTAAACCCGCAGCCTAATTATTGACTAACAATATGTCATTTATGTCTAACTTTTTAAAGGCACTTCTCTTGATGACTAATAACTCTTTCTCCTACTGTGAAACATCCTCATTTTCCCCTGAATACACCCCGATACAGATCCCTCTAGCTTTCATCATATCGACCAGTTTGTCTCTGTACTCCTTGCACAGGTAGATGTAGAGAAGAGGATCCAGGCAGGCGTTAGTGGTAGACACCCACAGGGTCAATTTATGGACTATCCCCACCCACATTTGAGCACAGATATCAATATGAAAGATTTCGTACAGTGTGAATGGGATACGCATCACGTGGAGAGGCACAAAACACAGAAAAAACACGAGGAGGATCAGGAAGACTCGCAGCTTGGTCCTCTTCTTTCCCTGGCTGTTGTTGCTCCCTGAGTTTCTGAAGGACTGCAGGACTTTCAGTGTGATGCAGATGTAGCAGAACACAATCAACATCAGGACGAGCCAGAAAATAGTCTCCATAAATAGAACCACAAACTTGTGAAATGTCACACCGGCTGGACTTTTCTGGGACAAGCAGAAATCTCCAGTCATATTAACAGGAACCTGATCTGTTAGAATGATTGTTGGGATGGCTGTACCGCCAAACAACAACACCCAAACAGTTGTGGACATGGCAACACTAGAGACCATGCTTTGTCCTAACAGCTTTCCACACGGCCTAACGATTTTGAAGAAGCGGTCGAGGCTGATGAGACCCATTAAAGCGATGCTTGTGTACAAACAGCAGTAGAAAATGACACTAGAGTAACGGCAGGCAAACATCTTTAACTGAACTGCTGCCTCAGGAAGCTGGCTAGCTGCCATCGGTGGGAGCGTCAGCGTCATGAGCAGGTCAGCAGCCACCAGGTTTTTGAGATACACTATGAAGGTAGAGGTGGACCGGAGGTGCAGAGACACCCACGCTGCGACCCCATTGAGCAGTAATGCAAAGGGAAACAAGAAGAAGAAGAGGTACGAGACAGCCACGTCTACTGTCACAAGGCTGTATGAAACACAGCCAGAGGTGGAGGGTGCTGTGTTGTTGGACACCATCATAAAACCTGGAATAAAGAAAAACAAAAGAAAACAGGACATCAAAGAAACATTCAGCTTTTTAATCCGAGGGTTCCCACATATTTACAACTTTTTCGTAATATTTTACCTCATTATCATGACTTTATTCAAGTAGTTAAAAAGCGCCTGTCACCTCTCTGACAACAAGCAATTTGTGGAGGAGCTTAATTCCAAATGTGGCGGTATGCACACTTTGTTTCCCCCAACTATACTTGGCCATTATTCGAGCACGGTCCCACTCCGACGTCATTGAAATCCGGTGCTTGGGCGGCCGGTTGCCGTTATAACTAAACAGTGCCCAGCAGAGTCAGGGGGAAACACGGCAGGACAAGGACGAAAGTTACGGCAACAAAAGTCCGAGTAGGGCGGGTGGGTCCAACAAACACCAACTTTCACCCAAGAGAGCGGTGTTTGTGTCCTGTAAAATTCTAAAGCCAAACTCTGTTCTTTTTTCCTAAACCTAACCCTGTTTTGTTGCCTGAACCCAACCATGTGCGTTTGTTGTTGAAGGGGGAAAAAAAAGGTCAATAAGCGGAGTTGTACCATTTATTTTGAAAGAGACTATGTAAACAACCAACACACCCAGGGTACCTTGCATGTGGTATGCGGACATTGAAAGTCCATGAACAAAACATCAATAAGTGATGAGGTTGAGATGAGAATATGTTGATCATTCTGCCTTTGGGAAACAGCCAATAGCAGATCACTGGATGCAGCAATGGATTGGTTGACCATCAGTAAAGTTGTCTCGCAGCTATACCTATGCTTGGCCTGCTGGTAGAAGGGTGACATCATCTGGCCGAGCTACAACAGACATGAAATGCTGGTGTTCTGTCGAGCAGCCTTTGGTTGTCTTGATGCTTTGTCCTTTTAGCATGGCTGACCAAAGCTGCTTTGCCATGCTGTCACCATCACACTTTTGGTGCAGAGCCTTCATCTAGTATGGAGCCAGTCTCAAGCCATGTATTATATTTGTCGTTCGAAAGCCTTACATTATTAAACATGCACTTCTAAGGCATTGTGGATAGGCAAATTGCTATCATTTGCTAACTTTTACCGCCACTGACTAGCTGTGTATGCCAAAGTGAATCATACTAGTGATGGTTGAATGTTTACACAGTGGGTTCTGTAGGCCCTGCACACCATATCCCCATGCAGATCTTTTGCTTTTGATTCATATTTGTGAAGTACACTTTGGAAGTAAAAGAAGCAGTGTTGGTCAGTTGCTACAAAGGCTGCATTGAGGTGAACTTAGTGATTTCAAAGTAAATGGCGAGGTCCAGGGCACTGAGAACTACTACTGCCCTAATATTTCCTGCTGTCCTGTTGAACCTGATTTGCATCGGCCATCAGTTTAAAAGACATTTGCTACTATGATTTGGTTTTGAATGCTCAACCAGAGCATTTGAATGCATCCTGGACACTGAACCTGACACTTCAACTTTTGACACTGACTGACCGAAGTTATGCAATTGCTAAATTTGTTTTCATCATCTCATTAACAACACAAGAGCAAAATGATAACGTTGGTTCCTCACATAAAGACATGACACAGAATATACCAACTTTTAGGACCTGGTGTTGAGTCACAGTCCCTCCTACTTAACAGATCTTTGTTAAGCTTCTTCATTTCATCTCCTTTGTAATTGGTTTGGATTTGATAAATGTAATGAGTAGATGTTTGACCTGATTCATCTCACCGGTGTCTAACATGTTCCATGTTTATTTATGCAGTTAAATTTAGATTGATACTGGGTCAAGAATGGGCTATGACCATAAAAATAAGTGCCCAGTATAACAGTGGCAAAAGAAGAAGCAAGCACTTGTTTGATTGTAATGAATCTGAGCATGAAAACTTTATTAAATCCTCTGAATAATCTTTACACAGTGACTGTAAGTCTATTATAGTCTCTCTGTCTCTAATCATTATAAGGCCATTTCATTCAAGAAAGTTCTTTGACCAGGCCCATTTTTAAGTCTCTCAGAATAAATACAGTTAACTAAACAGCATTAAAACCAAGTCAGTGTTAAGCTATTTCATGTTTGCTCTAAATCACACATTCTATACATCTAACAAGAGAGTTTTATTTATTTAATCACCTCTTAGTCTAATCTAATCTTTCTCCAAAATATTCTGAAACAAAATGCATTATTGAGTCACTCACCAGCTTTGATTATCTCCCTCTCTCTGTGCAGCCTGGGACATTAACACCTTCACATTCAAGATAAATCACCAAAGTGTGTCAGCCTCTTTAACCAGAGATGCAAATCCAAGAACAGTGAGCTGCTGTTGGGGGAAAGAGGATTCAAATGACATAGCTTGTGGTAAATCCTGTGTTTTTAGGCAACTTTAATTTGTCTTTGAACATCAAATCTATCTATCTATCTATCTATCTATCTATCTATCTATCTATCTATCTATCATACTGGATGTATAATTAATTTTCCAAAGACATGTGGTTACATTTTGAGACGTGATAAATGATACCACTGCTCATAAAAAGTAAATTCCCGTCAAGAAGCAGCCACTGTTAGTGAAATGAATCATATCGTGGCTGAGACAGCAGTATGCGGTTAATATCTGGTTGTGTGCAACATACCAGTCACATAAAATGATACAAGCCACAGGTACAACAAATAATGAAACTGTCATTACATCTTAACTTCCTTTATTGTTGTTTCCTTATGCACGTCTGTAGAACTGGTAGGTCCAATAACAGCCCACCATATTACCACAGATACTTGCTTACTTACAGTAGATGGGGATCATTGTCAGCAGCAAAACTAAACAACAGTCAATCAGACATAACAGTTTGACACATTTTTCTGCTGTATGATCAGACCATGCTAACACAATTAATCAGCAACACCTTAACGCACATGCAGCAATAAGAGATCACTGTGTATTGACAGGAGATCACTCAAGGCGTATTATACAGGCTGACTATTTTAGAGAAGTACTGTGGATGTAGATTTATTTACATAAATGCACCAATTTCTTCTTTTCAAGATAAGAGGTTATCGTGTCAGAGGAACTAGTTGTTATTATGAAATGGAATAGAGAACCAAAAGAAAAACAAAGAAAACATGTTAGTGTCAGTTCTTATGGTCTGACACATCACCAGCAACAAAACTTTGTATTGATAATTATACTTTATCTTAGTGGCAACATTATTGTCTGTTTTCTACCAACAGTGAAAGAGAAGTTGATTGCTTTAAGTTACAATGATAAAACTGTGGGTTTTTAAATAAATGGTTTTGCAAATCAAGATACGATCAAGATATTGTTAACAACATATGAGAGAAAATAGTTCACCATGTCTGTCATCTGTATTTCTCTAATGTTTAGTCACAAAACTGAACTTGGATTTGATCCACTTCTTAGCAACAGGACATCTGGCCCAGTCATCATGAGAAGATGTAGGAGTTGTACGTTTCTGCAAACCACAAATGTGTACATGAGTCACAGTTTGAGACCAACAAACAAACAAGCAACCCACCACTGTTTTTTAGTGGCTTTTTTGCCACCAAATGTGGGTGTTTTTTAGCACTTGAGGCGGATGTGGCTCAAAGGTAGAGCGGGTCGTCCACCAATCTAAAGATCAGCAGTTTGATCCCCGGCTCCTCCGGTCTGCGTGTCGAAGTATCCTTGAGCAAGATACTGAACCCCAAATTGCTCCCGATGGCTGTTCCATCAGTGTGTGAGTGTGTTAAAACTGAGTAGCAGGTGGAACCTTGTATGGTAGCCTCGGCCACCAGTGTGTGAATGTGTGAATGTGACTTGTACTGTAAAAAGCGCTTTGAGTGGTCGGATGACTAGAAAGGCGCTATACAAGTGACATACAAGTGCAGGTCCACTCTGTCACTGTTCTTCCACTGGGGATAGTGCCATGAAAACCAGTTGTTTTTAAAAGAGAAATTGTTGCATTTCCAGCGGGGGTTGTTATTCCTAATTAAAACTGAGTTGTCTTTGTGCCTAAACATAACCACACGTTAACCTCATTCATTCATTTTCTGTAACCACTTATCCTGTTAGGGATCGTGAAGGGGCTGGAGCCTATCCCAGCTAACATTAGGCCAGAGTCGGGGTACACCGAGTTGTTGAAATGTAAAGTTTCAACATCTGCCACATAATACCATAAATGTTAAGTATCTGTGGTTTGCAGAGACGTGCAATGCCGCCATGTTTTCTGCAGACTGGGTTAGGACATCATCACAGAACTTCAATGTTCAGATACCCCAATACAAAAGTCTTCATCATGTCCAGTGGTTTTATGCATGGAGAGAAGAGTCTCTCAGTGCGGTGCTGCCTGTGTCCGAGTCTGACCCTCTCCCTGTGAGCCAGCTACAGGTCCCAGCCGGCAGCCGCAGGGTCTTGAACAGAGTGGTCCTGAAGGACTTACAGAGGAAGAAGTAGATGAGAGGGTCCAGAACAGAGTTTAAGGATGAGAGGAAGAGTGTGCTTTCCTTCAGCTGGAAGAAGAAGAGTTTGAGTTTACAGTCAAAGAGAACCCCTCGGGTCTGGCTCATGGTGTACGGCACACGGGCGAAGTGAAATGGCACGAAGCACACAAAGAACACAGCCAGAACCAGAAACACGTTTGCATTCATTTTTCTTTTGGCCTGGTGGGGTTTCCGAGTCGATGCCTCTCCTGGTGCTCGACATATCGTCCCTCCAGCACTGTGGGCCTTAGTGCGGGAGTAGGATCTGTACAGCTCCTTGGTGATTAAAGTGTAGCAGACGATCACAGTCACAAGGTTGCTCCAGAAAATAACTTGACAGACATGATTTACCACCTCATGCCAGTACAGCCCAGCCTTAGTCTTCAGGTCACTGCACTTGAAATAAGGAGACGTTGGGGTTTTACTGGTCAGGATGACGTTAGGCAAACAGATAACCAGCAGAAAGGTCCAGATGGCTCCTGAAAGGATTTTGCGACGGGCCAACCGGGCTGCGTTAGTCCCTCTAAAGGGCTTGAGGGTCTTTCTGCAGCGGTCGATGCTGATGAGGCCGAAGAAGAGGATGCTGATGTACATGGTGAGGTAGAAGAGCACAGAAGAGACGCGGCACACAAATATACGCAGCCCAGTGGAAGCCATGTTCGAGTCTGCTAACACCTGCAGAAACACAACAGTACAATGTAGAAGACTGGATACTAGGTGCTCAAATTCAAGTCATACAGCAGAGTATAATAGTAAATACTAATATATAATAATAATAATAATAATAATAATAATAATAATAATAATAATAAATCTAAATAGCCATTGTTTATAAAGTGATTCTAAGTTGTAACTAATGACTTTATTTAATAGCTTTAAGGATTTATATTGAATTACAAGCCAATTCTTTGGTAGGACACTTTTTCTTTGTAGCTGCAGGGCTTTTGGTGCACGATCCATTTATTAACTGTTTATTAACATTTACTGCAGACTTGATGGATTACTGTAAGAAAAAAACAAACAAAACCAAACCAAACAAAATCCTGTATTAACCTTTGTAACTGCAGATTGCTTACTAAGTTTTTATAATAGCTTATTCATGTAAGAAATTCCAGGGGCTGGTTGCACAAATCACCTTAAGTTAGGATTTTCTGTTTTCCTTAAAGTCCTAATTAAGGTTTCTTCAAAATAAAATTGGTTGCACAAAATGCCCTTAACTTGTTTTCTTATAGTGTCCTTGAAATGTTCAATTAAGTATTTATGGTTTTCGCCTTGTTTTGGTCTTATACCTAAGGAATCCCTAGACTGGTGCACAAAAAACCTTAGCATCCAAAGCAAGATAAAAAAAACAAAACAAAACAACAAAAAAAAAACTAACTGCAGCATGACCAAGTTCATGGTGATAAATGAGAAGAGTAGAGAAGAGTGTTCTGCGACCAGGAGAACCTAGTGGATACACTTGATTTTACACTTTAGATTTGACTGAATTGATTTTCGTTGCAATGTCTTCCATCAGTCATTTCCAGTTTTCTGGTATTTGGGGATCAAATGTACTTTGCACTTTGTGCTTTCTATGACTGTATTCCTCCAGAAGAATAATCTTTTCCTCCTCTGACCAACATGGTTTTCTTCTGCCATTTTTACTGTTGTAAAACTTCTTTCAGTTCAGTCAAAGAGATAATGATTTTTCTTAACCAAGGAAACATTTTAAGGAATTCTGTGCAACTGTGTAAGTCTGTAAGAAATTAAGTCCAAGTGCCATACTTAAGGAGAAAACTTAAGGTGTTTTGTGCAACTGGTCCCAGACCCTTTAGCAATGACTATTAACATGTGTAACTTCAAAATGGTCTTAACTGAAACAGATTAGAGTCATGACGAAAAAGAAAAGAAAAAACGGATCTGCATCAATGCGAAACATTTACTTTTATAACAAGATGTTTTTTCACATTTTATCAAGATATTTTCATGTTATAACAAAATATATGTATGTTATTACTACACAATATGAAAACAATAAATTACCATGTGTTTACATGACATGTTTCATGTTATTACAAAATAAATAGTGTATTGTTATAACAATTAAAGTTGCTTGTTATAACATAATAAGTTTGTATGTACTAATAACGTGAAAATATCTTATCATAACATAAAATTATTTTTTTTAAATATGAAAAACATCTTGTAATAACAGTAAACTTTTCACATTACTACATAATACTGATCTTTTTTTTCTGGCATGGCAGCAATATGCCACCATATGCACGCACATATGAGTTAAACACCCCATTTTTTTTTTAGGCATATTTACCTTTAATGACAGGACAATTTGAAGTGTGAAAGGAGGAGAGGGGACATCTTGCAGCAAAGGGCCACGGGCTGGAATTGAATCCGTGGCTGCTGTGACAAGGACACTGCCTTTGTACATGAGGCACCCACTCTACCCACTGTGCTTCTGGGCACCCCAGTTAAACACCACACTTCATTAAAGAGTTATTAAATTTCTAACAGCAGCCTTGATGCCACAACTGAGCAACCCAAATGTTGCTCTTATGAACGACCTCCTACTATTCTATTAGAAATTGTTTAATAACCCTCAATAAAACCAGCAGCTACAACTTATTAAATTGTGCTTCATAAATAAATGGTGCCAAACCTTGAAAGGGAATGTGAAGGTCATGACGACGTCCGCAACCACAATATTCTTCAGGTAAATAATGAAGTGAGACTTAGAGGGGATGCGGAAAAACACCCATACAGCCACGCTGTTGAGCATAAGCCCCACCAGGAAGAGAAAGGAGTAGAGGACGGGAAAAACCACTGTCTTCAAAGCATTGTCGCGGGAACAAGTGCTGTTGGTGTGGCTGTGATTGCCAGTGAGCAGGGAGGAAGTCATATTTCTCTCCATGAGTGCCGTCTGGAAAGAATACAACAAAAAAGTTGAAGTTAAGTACACTCCTAGAATTAAGAGTCATTAATATAACCGCATCACAGAGGGTGGACAAATAACTTAAGCCTGGCAATTTTACAGTTGACAAATGTTCAATTTGTGTAAAGACTGCTGATGGCTGAACAATGGAACAATTCTAAAAGCAGTGTTTGATATCTGCACTTCATGCCTTCATGTAGCCTACCTTTGAAATCTGCAGTAGCCGTGCAATAGAAGTACATTTCAACATTTGAACAAGATGTAAATGTATAACAATTATAATTTAAGGATTTGTAACTGACCTGTTAATCTGTGTCAGTGAAGTCCCATCAAACTCCCAATGCAGTCCTATTGAGATTTTTGGTCCCTCTCGCTTCTGTATTCTTTACAAGTGTGATCTGAAACCGACCATCTGTCAGCTCCAGACAGTTTCAATGTTTCAAACAAGTGTGTGTGCATGTGTGTGTGCAGTTTGGTGGCACATAAGTCACAGGAAGACTTTCTCTTTTTCTTCTCCTTTCTCTTTCCTGTCACGAAGAATGGCTAAAGACTTCATTTCTAGGTCTATAATAATAGACGTGAGGACTCTCAAGTTTTGGTGTATTAATTGGCCCCAGAGGGCAACTGATTTCCAGCTGATAATCACTAAGATAACACGAGACCAAGACATCTTATAAACAAGACACAAAATCACATTAGGCTAATCTGAAGGCCTCATTATGTGCTTTAGTTGGACACATGATTTTTTATGGTGGACTCTCTCATATTGACAAGTTGTTTGGATTAAAGTGTCAAAAGGCTATAAACATGAGACCCCTCATTTGTTTTTGAGATGTGTATTACGAGCTAATGTGTTTCCTCTTATTCACTCATTTTGCTGTGTAATGTCCATCACTTCTGCATTATTTAAAACTGTGGTGAAATACACTTTTTTGTGTGTTTTCTCATGAGTAATGTTTTCCTGTACTTACAGAAATGTTGCACGTGAATAAAAACATTTCTTCTTATTAGAGTCACACTAACCTGTCATTTGGTTCATTTAAACAGTGTGCTCATTCTAGATATTCAGAAACAGGAACACTACAGACAGCCAGGGTTATTCAATTATCATTGCATCGGGAGTCACTGAAATACGTCTTTCTCTTTATGAAACTTTGTGAAACAGACATTTTGTTCCCATTTTAGGTGTTTCACCCTCCAACCTCGCGCTCTTGGAGACAAAGCATGAAGAAACTTCCCCAAACTGTTGTCTGTTATAACGCATAGCAGACACACTCCTGTCCAAAAGTCTTTAAGATAAACAATACGCTGACATGAAATCTAAGTAAAACAGATTTTACCCAGTCTGAAGTGACCAACTCACTGTATGATCTTGTTTGTAAAGACATACAGTTGCCCATTGCTCTACCTAACAATGCTTGGCTTTTGTAGGCCAGTTTTGCTGCAGAATAAAGCGTTACCTGGGCCCAGACCTCTACATGTGTCTGGTATTTTGAGTTTTTGAGTGATGGGAGTTGCACATTTCTCAGGCCAGTGCAGGGCACACTGACATGATATGTGTGTGTCAAGTAGAGGCAAAGCAATGTATGCTGAATGATCATTCAAAAAAAATAATTAAGCTGTATCTAACATAAGGCTGATAACTCATGAAATCAACAAGTGTTTACCTTTATGTATTGTGATAATTATGTTGAGGACTATAGTAAATGGACAAATATCTACCAACTCATATGTACAGTATATTGCATCACAGTAGTATCAGACATAAAAATGGCATTGATGATAAAAGTATTTCAGTTAAAATGCAAAACAAAACCAAACACTAACAGGCACTAAAAGTTGAGCCAAACTGCAGCAGCAACTCTCACTGAATCAAACTCAGTCATTACAACATGAGTTGTTACAAAACAAGTGTTTGTTCAGTTTTTATTCTACTAGTCCATACCCATTGGTAGCTTTGTCACCTTCTACCTATGCCAGTCCTCAATGCATATGTGCAGTTTCACATAGATTGATCACGTCAGTGAGTAGAAAAATGTGGGACAGACACAATGACACACTGACAGTTTCTGTGGTTACGTACAGCATACCATACCATGACTTAGTCATACCAAAAATCAGAAAAAACCCCAAAACATTGGGCCACAGGGGGAGCCACAGTGATTGGTCGAATTTGAGCCATTTTTAAGCATTTTTCTGTTGTTATAGCGCCACCCAGTTGCCAATTAGAGTTAAATTTCTCCAGTCACCTTGAGGCGTCCTGTTCTACATATCTACCAAGTTTAGTAAAAATCGATATGGCCGTTAGGCCTAGATAAGAAATTAGCTCTGTAGCGCCCCCATTTTGTTTGATCAGGTCAATAATGGAGGGGTCCCCTCAGATTATGTGTGGTCATATGCCTACAAAGTTGCGTGGTGATCGGTGAAACCCTTGAGATGTTATACACCTTTATGTGATGAGCCACGCCTTCCGCAATATTCATTGCCTTATAGAAGCTCAGTTTTAGTAAGTTTTCCAACTTTTACCAAGAGGGAACTTTAGATATTGGTCCCTAGATTATGCTCACCGGGTTTCATGCAGATCGGTCAAACTTCCTAGGAAGAGATCAATTTGAAGTGTTTTTCAAAAAAATTCAAAATGGCGGAAAATCTATATAACCAGAAGTCATGGGTTCTTAGGCAAATTTGTTCCTCATGAGGAGAGGCATCTCTGTGCAAAGTTTCATGTCTCTACGACATACAGGGCATGAGATATGCCCATTCAAAGCTTGCAATTTCAATCGGTTGCTATAGCGCCCCCCTTTGGCCAATTGATGTAATATTGCTTCATTCGCATCCTCCCATGACCCTCTACCACTGTGCCAAATTTCACATGGATTGACCAAGTCAGTGAAGAGAAAAACGTGGAACAGACACACACAAACACACACAGACAGAGTTTTCGTCATTATATACTAAGATATAGTAAGATTGCCAGCACTGCTGCAGAATGATTATGGAGTCTTGGGTGCATCACAGGAATAATAATACACATACTGTGATCTCTAAATGTTAAAGGAGCAGTGTGGCATCCAGTGATGAGGACTGCAGATTGCAACCAGCTGAAACTTCTCCCATGTGCCAAATGTGAACTCCAAGTTAGATTTTCTCCAGTGTTCTTTGTTCATGAAGTTTTTACTGGGAGATGAAGTGTGCTCGCCTTTTATTCTCTGATAACTTAAGATCCAGGCGTTCAAGAGGGTTTTACAAGGAGTTGAACTGTCTGCAGAGGGCTCTTCCTCTCCAGAGCAAACGGATCAGGTGAATAAAAATGGTTAAAACACTGAATAAAGCAATCTCAATTTCTGATGCTGCTCGTCGCACAGGGGCTGCTAACTACGGTGGTAACTAGGTAATGCAACATGGTGGATTTTGTGGACGGGAATCAGCTCCCTATGAGCTATAAACAGCTCATTCTAAGGTACCGAAAACACAATGATTCTTATTTTCAGGGTTATTGTACACTAACAAAAATATACTTATTATATTAAATCCTATTTCAGAAAATTATACTACATTGTGGTCACACTGGTGTGTGACCCTGGTTAGTTCACTTTGCCCAGTGGAGGTTTCACAACAGTTTCCTATTGTTTAATCATTACTTAAGGAATTGGGGACCAATTTCAGTACACACTGATATCTACTTCTTTCCTTATCACATGACCCTGATGGCCTTCTGCCCCGCATTCTTGAGTGCCAGCAGTTTGCATGGCAGTGCTGCAACTTCCTGTGTCTGGAGCAAGATAGGCAACGTCAGCTGCATTCACTTCCTAAACTAATGCGTATCTAAAGGTCTGTGGACGTTTGCACACTCTTGTGGTTTTTGTTCCATGTAAAGCTCGGCCTAAATTTAGTCATATACACTGTACATGCAGTCGATTTCCCAATCCTCCATATTGACATGCAGTCATGTTTCCCACAGCTGTGATCTCTGCACATCTGGGTCTGATCAGGACATCAAGCATGCACTCTCCAGGAGAGAACTCGACAGCAACACTTGCTGCTTTTCAGTTTAACACCAGTTGATCTGCGTGTCTTTTTGGTCACCTTCCTATTTTCTACTTTACTTCCTTTCTTTTGCTTCTATTCCTTGTTGAATGTCAAAGGTTTCGCCTCAGGTCTGACATGAGTTGGTCAAAGGCTTCATTTGTTTTTGTTTTTTTATTGATGTGTCCTGTGTTTCTCCACTGTCCTCCGCTGCGTAATCCTACCTCCTTTACTGATGTTTAAATTTACATGAATCATTTACACTAAGGCACAATCAAATAGTGTGTGAATGCACAGTTGTAGACACGCGCATGCAGACACAGGAAAAGCTGCTCTACATTCACACACACAGTAATCCTCCTCAGCTCCCTCTCAGACAGACAGGAAGAAGGGAATGAGGGGAGGAAATAAAAGGAAGGTAATACAAGACTTGACTGAATTTTCCATTTAAACCCTCTGAGCCTCCTCAGCAGCAGCTCCCCCACTTACACACACACACACACACACACACACACACGCTTTTACCTCTCTGTAGGTGCACTGCTTTCCTCACCTCCCACATCACCCCTTGACCTTTAAGTCACTACTTTCACTCTCTGCCAATCCCAGACCACTAGCCTGCTGTAACACAGCTACCGCCTTGCACTTTTTTTCACCCTGTGGCGATGATGAAGCTGGAGAGTGAAGGGGGAAAACTTCATTTCCTTTCTGCACGTGGGGTATTGCCTTCAGTAGCCCCACTTTGAGCGCGAAATACCCTGCCTTTACATGGCCTTTGTAGAGCCTTTCATCACAGCGGCGAGTATGTGTTTAGGGAAAAGGTAATGGAAAGACGCAGTGGTGTTTGGGGGCAAACATCAAGCTAATAATAACAGAGCTGTAACAGCTGTGGACTGAAAAGCCGATGTGACTGAACTGTGACCCCTGACCCCGACAAGCGGTCGACAATTGATCATGTTGTCATAGTGACAGGTAGAAAGATGTAAGACAAAAACTTCTCACCACATAGAGAGAGGGAAATATATATATCCAGGGTGGTCCTTGCTTGCGGTTTGTTTGCGACTGTCTTTGTCTTTATGTATGAATGTTTACGTGTATACATTTCCCTTGGCAGCCTTTCAAATCAACTTCTACTTGCATAGCTGAAATGTGCGGGCCACACTTTGTTTTGACAGGGTAAGGTTTCTTTGGCTACTGCTGCTGGTGTGCTGTTCAGTGTAAGTTCCAGCAGGTCTGCCTCCCATATGATTATCCACACTGACAAATCTAAAGCAGCTCATACTGTGTGGAGGTGAGGGAGGGGTGGATAGAACAAAAAAAAGTGTGAGCCACAGTTTTTCTAGCTTTTATTGACGATGAAACCACATTTGCTGTCATGCACCATATGGGTGTAAAGAATCATTCCATGC